GAGGATTAGCCATATCCATTTGAGATTGCTTAATCCTTCTGACGTTTTTCAAAGCCTGGCAACGAAAAAAGTACTGCAAAGGTGTCAGACCTCTGCGATCCAAAAGCAGTCGATGGTCTGGAGTCATGTTTTGCAGGTTCATTTTGATTTTTTCCATATCAGCCGGCGACGTTTTCTGGGCGATTTGGTCCGCAAGCTGGCAAACATGTTGGAAGTCCTTGTTTGACAGGGAAGCCATATCGTCACGTACTTGTCCAGAAAGAGGTCGGGTGCCCAGATTTTGAGGAAACGGTTGTCGCAAGGATTGCTGATTTGGTGGTGCGTTCATCGCTTGCTGTGGTTGAGGCGCCATGGGAGGGCCTCCAGGAGGGCGTGGGATTCCGGCAGGAAACATGTGTTGCATCTGGCTTTGGTTTTGAGGAGTAACAGGCATGCCAGTTTGAGGGTTGGATGGTGGCATGACGGCCTGTTGTCGTTTATCGCGAAGCTGCAAAAGCTTCTCAGTGCAGCGCCTTTCGTAATCCGCCTTTCAAACACGATTAGTACTTGATGGTTGCCGAATCGGTCGATAGATGTAGATTGACAAAGAAATAACAAACCTTTTCGCTAGCTTCTCGAAACGCTCTATCTTCAAATTTGAGGGCGCCGTTGATCGCAGAAGGCACATCGATTCGTGGAATCAGGCGTAGAGAACATATCCTTGGGGAAGGTGTTAGGTCTTTGTTTTTGTAGGGGGTGCCATCATGAACCGGAACGTTCGGAGACGTCAGAATGACATACATTTGACAAACTTTCATAATACGCTCCTGAATCTGCACTGACTCACGCCATCCAGTGAACGGACCTTGGGCCTGTATTATCTGTCCAACATGCTTCCATAACATCTGGGTACTGTCGAGTTTTGGCTTGTCGTTCGGAGGCATGGCACTTCCCGCAGCACCACCAGCAACGGGAAAGCCTGCGGGATTCATTTTGAATAGAGGGCTGTCGATTCAGCGGAACGGCAGTATCCGCGAGAAAAGGTCTTGAGTCTATTCATTCACCGGAGATATTTCTCGAAACGATCTTGAGAGTCGCGTGTTGATCGAAAATGGACGGCAAAACCAGACGTCTGGTCTATAGGGAGATTGTACGGCGAGAGAGGGAGACGCTGGCTGATGACGCAGTTTACGTTTGCTTCCAACTGAAGTCGAGTCACCAGGAGAAAGGGTCGCGGGAAGACAGACGGTAGCCCAAATGAAACTCGACCGATTTCCACCAGCCCTGAGCAGGGCGGGTGGGGTGAGGCTGTACTCGGAACAAAGGCGGATTGGGAGCGCAAAGGCAAGACTGGGAGACGTGTGCGAAAAAGTTACAATCGAAACCAGGCGTCGAACGGACGCTGCGGACACTGTGTTGAACAGAAGAGAGTTAGAGGAGCAAAAGCATGTTGGTGAGCAACAGCTGCTGGACAAGCATTCTGGCCGGGGCGGCTAGGTCACAGGCGCACACTCACACCGTGGATCTAATAATACAAGGAACCCTGGGCCATCGAAACAATTAAGGGAGCAATCTTCCCCAAACCAACTCCTTTTCAAAAAACAGAGACGGCGGGTGAAGAATTGCTCGTCGACCCGCGAGAGTGCAGCGTGAACTGCGACCAGACGTCCAGTGAAGGCGTCCAGCGACTCCGGAGGCGTGGAGGCCAGGTGCAGAACGAATCTTACACGGCCTGACACGCCTGGTACGGTGATATCACACGTTATTTGCGTTGTCTGGCGCCTGGGTCGCGGCCTTGTTACTAGCGGGTTACCGCCTAATCCTGCGTCTGGTCCCCTCCAGCCGTTAGTCAGCACACTGCCAAGGCCAGCTCAGCCAATCACAGGGCCACCACTGATTGGGTTTAGCTTCGCTTTGTTGGCAGGTCCCGTTTGGGTCTAGCGCATTCACCGTCTGCCTGCGCTGTGTTTGCGCTTTGATGCCGCTGGCGGTGTTTGAGTGTGCGAGGGCGGGGGAGAAACGGTGGTCAGTGAGCTGCTTCGTGATGCCTGGAGATTGCTGGGGTTCAGGCCTTTTAATCCAGGATCGACGCTGGATGTATCTTCATGCAGAGGTGTCAGGGGCAGCAACGGCAGGGCCACGTGACCGCTACGGAGCAGATTCCCCTGTTCGTACGTCACCGCCACGAATCGCAGCTTGTCGGGAGGATCCAGGCTTCAACTCTCGTCCCTTGCATAGCATCACGGACTATATCCACACAAACGGCTTTGGTGTGTGACAGCTCCTTTTCTACCGGCTGAGCTGCTACCAATGGACCGTGCGGCAACCCATGGTTTCGACGTCTACTCATGAATCACGGCGCCTAAGGCCTTGAAGAAGCGCAAACTCGCCAGCCTACCGCCGCGCCCCCTTCGCCATGTCTCTTCTCTCATTTCAGGCTGCCCGTCCGCCGCCCGTTGGCTCGGGCGTGTTTGCGGCACTTGCTGTTGTTTCGATATTCTGCCTTGTCTTGCTCCTGCTGCGACACTATCTCCCCCTGCGCAATACACCCGCCTACCTGACCCTTCCAATATTCCTCGCGCTTGCGCTTCCGGCTAGCGTCATTCTTCTAGTTCCCATCGACCTCACTTCAAGTACTGCGGGCAACTCTCCGTCCGGAATATGGTTTCCGGCCCGTGTAATGCTTGTCTCGTGGAGGATAACATACTGGCTTACTTTTGTCCTCACATGGTTCGTCTCTGCGTTGCTTGAGATCTTCGCAACTAGAGCGCTAACCCAGACCATCTACGTAGGCTTATTCTGCCCTTACTTGGCGAGTACATTGATTCCGGCTATCGTACACCCAAAAGTCGGCTTACTTACTCCCTGCGGTCGAATGCGCGCTACCAGCTCTTTATGTTATCCTGCGGGGCCGTGGGCCTTGTATATGTGGTGATCCAGAATGGCTTCCATTTCAGCTCTCTCAAGAGCTTGGTTATGGCGTTGGCATATGTCTGGGGCTTGGTTTTGGCTATATATCTCATGGGCCACGGCCTGGTAGCTATACCCAGGGGTCTCTGGCGAAATGCAAGACCGGGGACCAAATTACGACGCCTCCAGTCTCGCGCTCCACTAATATATGATCGTCTCATTGACGCTAAATCTAATCTTGAGAATATTGGAGCGCAGATAAGCCAACTGCAAAGGCGAAAGGCGACCGTACCACCAGACCTAAGAGACTGGATAGAAGAGTTAGCGGAAGGTGCCAGTTTCCCGGTTTCGAGGCCTTCACAGTTTGTTGAAACCGATACCTCGCGGTCGACGGGCCCGGTTGTTATTACGGAGAGATACCTAGCGGAGCTTACAAGGAATCTAAACCACGCCCACCACAAAAATGCTCGCTTCACCGATGCTTGGAGTCGCCTGGTTCAAGAAGCCGCAGACTGTCAAGCCATTATCGACTCCTCAACATCAAAGCACCTTGAATTCAGCCGTCTCACGGCCCATTCCTCCTTTACTCGCCGCCGTTCGTTTCTATCTCCCTACCTTCGACACGTCCTCCATTTTCATGTTCTTCCGATATTCCATCTTATCTGTTCCGGCCTCTTCTCGCTCGCATCTGTGTGCATTATATGGTCGGAATTAGTTAAATCATTCGCACCTAGTATATCCATCGTCGGTTTAAGCGTCACCCATGTTTATCATGGTGCAGCCTCTGTTACTTTTCTCGGCCAGGTGGTAGCATCCGGGTGGATGCTTTACATGTGCTCTGCAGCTTTTGCCGGTGTGAGCGATACAAAAGTATGGAGAAATCGTGCCCTTGTACGACGAAACACTCACGGTGAAAGTGCATGCTGGTATGCAGGCTTGATTGCCCGGCTTACGGTCCCATTGGCCTACAACTTCCTTACTCTTCTTGCTCGAGATGTTCAGCATAAGACTAGTTTTTACGGCTTCCTTGGCCGCTTCATTGATTTAACCCCCTTGGGAAAGGGTTTCGACTATTTCTTTCCAATCTTGATCTTGGTTCCCGTCGGCGCCACTCTATTCAACATGTATGGCAAGGTTAAAAGCGCGTTTGGTTTTGGCCTGCTCGAGGGCGACGATGGCTCCGCAGATGATCCAAGTGGTATCGGTATCGGTACGTGGCGTGAAGGTCGTGACTTGATCAATCAGGAGCTGAGCGGCCCGGGGTTTCTGGGGCTCTCTTCTCGATCAGCCGCTGGCAACAACTCCTTGACGGAATCGGATACATCTGCCACCTCGGTCCCACGACGAGGCCCTACGCTCCGATCGTCGCAAGCGGCTAGTCTACCTCGCTACGAGCATTCGACTGCAAATAGGGGGGTGAACGTATCCAGTCTGGCGTCAGACGACGAAGACGATGAGAGTCCTTTCCAGTCTTTTGTCCATAGGGTTAAGAATACGTTTGAAACCACGGGTAAGCCAAAGTGGCTTCAACGGATGGATTCCGAATTTAGACGACCGCGGTGGATGCGCGGTGACCATGTCGATGATGATATGGAATAGCCAACAATTGGGGTGGCATGAACAGGCTGTTTGGCACGTAACTAATTCAGCATTGGGTTTTGTCCCGGCAATACCCTGTTATTTCATTCTGCACTTTGCATGGTGACGGCGTTTGGAGCACGGCAGGACAGACAGCGTGTCTGAGCAACCATTACAGAGTAGATACAGACTAATAACCAATATCGTTGAAATATCCATAGCATCAGTCGCAAAGAGCGGGTGTTTCTCTCCACCGCCTTTTAGTTTGTTTGCGGGGGGATCAAAGCGGCGTAATGATGCGGTATTGGCGTTACAAGGCGGCCACACAGAGGGTCCAGAGCGCTTAATAACGCCCGCAGCCAGAGACACCAAGCCTGCAGGCGACCAGAAACAGAACCACCGCCTTTGTCCCCGAATTCAACACCCTCCACCTCCATGGCTTGCTGACCTCTGCCTGCCCCGAAGGTGAACTCCATCTTGGTCCTCGCGTGCCCTCGTCGAAAACCAAATCTATGACAGTGGCCCTGCTGCCCGCCGTACGTGCGAGTGCTGCTTCGTACTGGGACTCTCTGCTGTCATCCCTGCCCCCCCGCCTGCACGACTCCCTGCTGGACCTCGAGGCCACAACCTCCCAGTCCATCGCCGTCCTCTCGTCCCGCGTCGCCCGTTTCGCTCCAGCGTCCGCATTCCAACTGCCACCGTTCCCGTTCGACACATCCTTTGTTCTCGCCGCCACTGCCTTTGCCGTTCTCTTGGCCCTTTTGACGATGGCCGGTTTCCGACGACACAATGTGCGGAGAGACCCTTTCCCGACTGGTGGGTTCAGAATCCCCACAGAGGAAGAGCTGGCGGATAGGTTTTTTCAGGGACACAGGAAGTCGTTTCTAGACGAGATTCAGAGGACAAAGAGGTTTTTTGAGGACGATGATCGGGAGCCGGATGTGTTGAGATTGAGGCATCATTCGACGTCTTACTTGCTTCAATTCCCTGCGTTTGCAATTGGTGATGGCATTTTAACGGTGGGAGACGTTCGCAGGGCGGCGGGTAATGCATTGGACGTCACCAAACTGAGGCGGATTAAATTACTCTACAAGGGTCGATTGCTGAAAAATGACAATGCCACTGCCAAAAGTGTGGGGTTGAAGCAGAATTCCCTGATAATGTGTGTGGTGTCGGAGGATTTTGGAGACGACGACGACTCCACCAGCGAGTCTGAAGTCAGCGAGTTCTCTCCGTACCGTCAGGCGTACGCGGAGCTGCGAGAGCGCCAGCGCAGTCCGCCCAGACGGCGGAGGACACGCTCCCGACGGAAGAGCCCGCGAGTCGAGAGGCGCCGTGGGGATGAAAGCGACTCTAGCGTGCACGCGGAACCGCCACGACGACGGTCCCAGTCCCGGCGGCCTCGCCCACGGGCGACTTCAAATGCTCCGCCGAGGAGGGAGCAGCGACCACCCTCTCCGCAGCCTGCACCCCCGCCGCCCGCTCCGGCACGCACAACCCGGATGCCAACGCCATCTCCAGCGCTCAATGCCTCTCAAAACGCCCAGGAGAAGCTCAGGATCCTCGATGATTACACGGATACCGTCCTTGAGCCGCTCTGCCTGCAATTTGTCAAGTATCCATCGGGCGATCAGAAAAGCAGGGAGATGGAGCACAAGCGCCTGGGCGAGACCGCAATGACCCAGGTCCTGCTAAAGGCCGATGGGGTTGACGTGACTGGCGACTCTGCCGCTCGACAGCAGAGAAAGGCCCTCATCAACAAGGTCCAGCTGCTTCTGAAGCGAGTTGATGATGCCGCCAATCTTTGAGACGAGCGAAGTATTTGCATGCTTGCTTTGCATCAGCACCATCAAAGGGATATTGGATTTGAGGGAGTTCAGGAGCCACGAACAGTTGGAATTACACACTAATGAAATAGAGGATATTCGGTTTTTTGTTTTGTTTTCTGGAGGAATTGAACAGGGTGCAGCTACATGTGTCATGACCAACACTTCTCTACTCAGTAATTTTTCTTTGTTTTGCCTGTTCTTTTTCATTTTTCTCAAGGGCATCTCGTTGTCGTCTGACAGGCTGTCTCGCAGGGGTTGATTGTCAGGTTTTTTCTGCTCTCTTACATGTCGCACAGCAGAGATAGTAAGCGGCAAAAGAAGGCAACTACACAGTCATTTTGTGAAAAGAGCATTGCCTTTCCCGTTCTTCATTGATCGTCCGCCATGTCATCTCAACCCCTATTCCATCACCGTTCTGAGAGACACCCATAAACGTCCACAGCTCTCTGTGACAGACATCAAGACACATTGCACGAGACTGGACCTTCTTGTCCACCCTGAGCCGTCAGCAGCAGAATCACTCTGACTGGACAATCCAGCCTTGCACAGCGGATTGAACGTACGCCAATCAACGGGGTGATTTGACCAAAAAATTTCCCGCAGGCCTGGGATGTAGCCGTAACTTGAAGAAGAGGCGCAAAAGGGCAAAAAGGGAGATTACTGACTCTTTTTGTTTAATCTTAAAGTCATTTCTGCCCCGTGTGTGCGTGTGGAATTGCTTCTTCAAATGTGATCAACTAATAAGTATTAACTAGTTCTCTGACAATATTCCCTTCCTCCGCTTGGCGTGAAGAAAGCTGAAGGTCAACAACCCCAAAGCCAAAAGTGCAACATCCGCCCTCAACTGCAACGGCGCCATCGCCAGAACCGTCACCGTTGACAATCCCATTTGGGAGATTTGCTGCATATTCTTCAGAAACCGCCCGTGTGGCCCTCGTCGCTCTTTTTTGATTCTTTTTTCGTTATTTCTTGTACACTCGCTTGGCTGGTTTCCTCTTCCCCCCCCCTGGTTGTCTGCCTCCCTCCTCGAGGTCGACTATCGCTTTCTTTTCACTCTCCTTCCTCTCCTCCCATCGAAAGACGCCTGTTCCATTCCCAAAATCCTTGAATCCTCGCGCCCATGCCATGAGCTTTCGTCTCCCCTGACCCGATCCTCCCGCTTTCCGTGCCGCCAGAACCGAACCGAAACCCAGCTCGAAGACCTGCAAGCTACCGTTTCCAAGCCCGCGATTGAGAACCGTGTCGAGCTCGGGGGCTAATAGCTTCACCCTTTATTTCTTCTGTTATATTTAATTACTCAAATCTCGCGTGCGCAGGAGCTGCTCCTTCGTCTCCCGATCGGAAAAAAGGGACCCCTTTCTATAATTTATCCCTCTTCGCGGTGCTCGAGCCCTCCTCCTGCAGTGCTCTCGAAATTTTTACTCCAGTTCTCCGTACACGCAACGGGCCCTGACCACTGCCTGGAGTTAAGAGGTGTGACATTGGAAAGAACACAGTTGCTGTGAGGAGGCGTTTTTTTTCGCATAGGTGGACACATAGCTGAGTCGATTCGGAAACCATTGCTGGCATGGCAGAGACTGCTGCAAACAACTCAGCAGATGCTCTGTCATCGCCCGGCAGTGTGAATGGAAGTCAGCGGCCGTGGGATCAGAGCGTTCCCAATGGACAAGATGTATGTGCGCTGCAATTTTCTTTTTCCCTGTTTAAAGAACTCATGGCCCTTTCCCCGTTTATTGCTTTGAACAAAGGCTGTCCCAACTTGCAGCAAAGCCTTTACTGCATTTTTTTGGCTGCTGACACTTGCTAGTTACAGTCTGCCAATGTCTTCCCTTCCAAGTCCCGAACGTCCCACGATTCCACCGCTACGTATTCAAAGTACAGCCAACGGCATAATACCACTCCTCATGCTGTAAATGGGACTTCCAGATCTCGTACCTCGTCGAGATCCGGGTCCATGCATGGCTATTTGCACGAGCAGGGGTACCTCGCACCGCACCGGGTCGACACATTAAGCCGAAAAGACCATAGCTTGAGTCGCAATGGGAGTGATGCAGAGAGCCTTTTAGACCTCTATGGTCGGGATTCGGCCAATCGCAGTACGTCGAGCGTGATGGACTCGGTCGACCGAAAGCCCGAAAACAAGCCCCATTACGAAGCCATTGAGGATCCCAATGAGTCACACTGGATTCATCGAGACAAGCTAGCGAAAATAGAGAGCGAGGAATTACAGCAGTTTGGTATTAAAATTCGAGATCCGCTTTTGATGAGGCATAGGTCAGGCGGTGGGCGAGGGCGTAGTCGCGAGTCTCAGAGTATTGCAACAAACGGGGCTAGAGATCGAAGCAGTTCATCCCCAATTATTCCTGAGCGGACGGAGGAGCAAATATCTCCGCCTGCTCCCATTGAAGACAGCCCCCAGGAAGACGAAGGCGGACCGGTCGTTTTCGATGACCCACGGCTGCCAGAGGAGATTGCGGCTGATCCCCATGAAGACGGCCGTGGCTCTAAAATATATCGGATGCCCGGGTTAAGAAAGAGTTCGTCGCGAATTCCGGTCCTTACCTCCAGCCCTCATCCCATTCCCCCAGGGTATCTAGAACGCGACTCTCCTCTCCAAAGACCACGGAACAATACAGCCACTAGTGGAGACGAAGAGGGCCTCTCGCTCCCAAAAACTCGACGTCCAAGTGTATCAGCGCCGCGCATGTTGCAGACCCCAGAACCTGAGCTTGAAAGCACACCACCGAAAAATACCGAAGCAATTGACACCAGCGAGCAATTACAAGGCTCGCCTTCCAAGTCGAAGCAGCCTGCAAAACCAGCTTCCGCGGCGACGAGTCGCAAAACATCCAGCAACACGGAAACGCGAAAAGCCTCCGGAACCCACAAAAAAACATCCCCCAGTAACTCTCACGGCGGCTCTGTGAGTCAACGTCCGTCGACTAGGGCTGGCGAGCGGCGACCCGGGACTGCCATCAATCGTCCCGAGGGAGATCCCCCATGGCTGGCGACGATGTACAAGCCAGATCCACGTCTTCCACCAGAGCAACAGTTGATCCCAACCCACGCCAAGAAGCTCCAGCAAGAGCTCTGGGAGAAGGAGGGCAGAATTCCATCTGCGTACGACAAGAACTTCGCGCCCCTATCCATTCAAAATGAAGAGAAAACCCCATCCTTTTCGCCGGAGCCGGAAGTGCCCCAAGAGGAATTTACTCTCCCTGGCCTCGCGTCGTCGCCACCGCCAAATGATGCTGCCAAAGCGAATCAAACGGGGGCGGCTGGAACTGATCGTACTAGCCATCATACATCTCCATCTGCTGTACACTCTCGTCCGGCTCCAACATTCACACCGTCCATCAGCGTGAAACCGGCTCCAAGCCCTATGCAGGTTGATGCCCCTGCTAAAAAGGAGAAGGGCTGTTCCTGTTGTGTTATTATGTGATCCAATCGTGACCTCGAGTCATGGCGTCTGTCAGCATCCTTCACTTCTAAAAGATTGTCTTATCTATCACCAAGTTCCCATCTCGGCTGCTTCTGATTCCTTTTTAAGTTATGCTAGCAGGTTTTCAGTTGTTTGTTCCCTATGTTGACTGCTTTGAGTGACCTTATCGGCGTTCCTTGTCTATCGATCTGCTGCATCTGATTTCTGAGGGGGTTATCTTAATCGGGCATTGGCGAAGCACCGTCTTTCGTATGTATCGGCCTTTTGTTTCATTTTCTTTTGGACGCTTATTCCAGCCTGGGCCACAATCCGCCAGACCTACTGCATCTCCGCGTTGAAGTCTTTCGAATATGCCAGCTGCCCTCTTAACGAATTTCATGAACCCCACCGCCTCTTTCTTGTTATCTCAACTATTGATTCCCCCGGCCGCACCGGCTTAAAACTCGCAATTTATCGGGTTGCTTTCTAGCTCGAATTTGTGCACTCCATCCATTAGGCGTTCAACTACTTTTGTCGTCTCTACAACGTGTTTCTATACAGATTACTCGGCCGTTTCTTTTTCTGATTTGTTGATATTCCGCTGCCCCTGATTGCCTTGGGCTATAAATACTCCCGGAGTTGCAGAATTCGATAAATCAGCCTGTTGTAGTTGTGGTGCTTTTTCTTTTACATTATTGTCAGGGTGAAAGCATCGTGTAGCCTAGACACTCGAGATATTCAATCAACACTGATAAAAAGATACATAGTCGAGCCGTGTTGAGCATCATCCCCTATGTAACTATTTTATATCCCGGCATCTCAAGGCATGACGCAATCCGGGTGCAACCGCAATTATTCAGCGACAGCACAATGAGGTCTGATGCGACAGGATATTCTGCGATGGATAGTAAAAGCAATATTGCGAATTATAAATGTCGCCGCTGTAGTCTCGAGTCTCGAATTCGATCAATAAGCAAACGAATTCCCCGATCGCCGAACATTCCTTGACTTTTGGCTCACCCACTCCGCCAGTTGATCACCAATTCACATCCCTACCAAACCCCCCTCCAGCTTTCCCTGCTTCTCAAGCAAATCAATCACTCCATCTCCAGAGTTATATATAACCCTGCACATTCACCCCCCTCCTCTCTCTCCTCTTTTACACCCCGCCATCACTCGCCCACCATAGCTTCCATATTCCATCGACTCTTCGGCTCCCTTGCCGGCCCAAATCCCGCCATCATGAGCGCCGCAAAGCAAAAGGCCCAAGCCGTCATCGCGGACAACGCTGTCGGTGCGTGCTGCTGATCATACCTCATTGACGATGAAACTAACTCTGATTTCCCCCTTTCTTTTACAGTTGTCTTCTCCAAATCCTACTGCCCGTACTGCCGTGCCACCAAGTCCCTCCTGACGGAGCAAGGGGCCGATTTTTTCACGATGGAATTGGATCAAGTTGGTGCGTTTTCTCCCTTTGTACAACATTGCCTCCTTTTTTGATGCAATTGCGGGGGCTAAATTTCTTCGATGGTTGAGAACAGACGACGGCGCAGCGATCCAAGCTGCTCTTGAGGAACTTACCTCGCAACGCACGGTTCCGAACGTGTTCATCGACCACAAGCATATCGGTGGGAACTCGGATCTGCAGGCTCGCAAGGGTGAGCTGCCAGGATTGCTCAAGGCGGCTGGTGCGCTGAAGGCGTGAGTGGGTCTATAGGTGTACTTGCTGTATGGATGAGAATAAATGCGTCGATGGAATGCCGGCGACAACTGATAGAGCACTTTGTGCTGTTAGTTGTGCTGGGAATACTTGGAAACCTGTGTACAGAGAACTGGAATGGAATACTAGTGTCAATTGACCTGCTTCTCCGTGATATGTTGGAAGAATTGAGAATTGAGGTGAATATATCGGACAAAACCATTAACATCATCATATAATACATGTAGCCCGCTCCTCCCGAGGTATTGATGAGGTGAGACCCAGCAATAAGATCGACCCTTAAAAATCATGCAACCATTTGTTCAACCGTTCCCACCGGTCGCTCAACAATCCCCATAACTCCTTCGATGATGTCCTTTCTCGCACCCTCGCTGGCCACAGACTTGCCCGCCAGGTATTGCATCCACAACAGCCGGCTAATCCGCTCATCTACGACTTCACCCAGCCAAATCATCGGCTTCGAATTCCCCGGCTGATACAAAATCTCCAACGCGCCTACTTTGTCTCGAAGCAGCAGCAGCGTCTGGCCTTTGGGAACATTCTTGCGAACGCCACCGCCCAACAACGCCTTGAAATCACCCATTGCCTTGCCAAACGAGTCATCCGCAAAGTCAGATTGCGGCGGCGCACCAGGTTCGCTCTTGGCAGCGAGCTCTTTCGCCTTTGCATTGGCCTTTTGCGCACGGCCCGTGATCGCCCGCACCCATCCATCGCGCAGATGAAGGAAATCCGTATTCCGCGTGGGGACTATTCTGATCGCAGTCCGTATGCCCGCATCCTTGAGGACCTGATTCCATACTTCTTCGCCCTGCTCCGGGTCAAGAAGCGCTTTCTTCAAATCATCTTTTTCCTGCGGGACCAGAGACGTTGCCGTCACGGCACTCTCGTTGGGAGCTCCGCTCACGCTCGGCGAAGCTGCTTGTCGGACCAAGCGCTGCTGTAATGCCGCCATGTCCGAGGCCGCAATGTAGAGGCCGACGACGTAGACCTGGATACTGAGAAATGAAACAGTACGGATTCCCAAGCCGAGAAGGTAGTAGTCTTCCTCTCTGCCGTCTCCCTTTTTGATTTCGTCGCCTATTTGCCTAACCGATTCGGGGCGAGAAGACGGCGAATCCAGAGATGCAGGCAGGCGGATTACTTTTGGGAAATGGGGGATCGTGGAATTTCCTGTGGGCACTTGTTCAACTCCATCAATTATCAGCGTGGGATCACTCCCTGAATTCAACCCCGGCGGTCCGTCAAGTTTAATCCCCCCAGTGTTCCCAGTGCTGGGCTTGTGGCCATCCTGGCCCTCTTGGCCAGTCTTCTTCGCCCCTTGTGGGAAGTAGATCTGAATTGCTCCAAACATAGCCACCCCGCACGAAATCATTCCGGCAACGCAGAGTGCCATTGTCATCTTCTGATCCGTGGAGCCTTTCCGCCCCGCACCGGAGGCATTTCGCAGAGGGTTCGCGGTGGATCGGAGTGATCGTGATGAAGACAGGAGGCGGGTTTGTTGCTGCTGCGGGAGGTGCCAGATGGAAGGGTGACTGCGCCGTATACATTGGTATAGAGCGCGACGGATTGGAAGATGAGACGACATGGCTGAGGGTCTGGGTAAGCCTTGTTTTCGTTTATCGAAGCGTTTCAATGTCGAAATCGAATCGATGCAGTTGGACTCTCATGGAGACATTGGATTTGAAGGGAGGTGTTTGTACTGTTTGCACTGGTAACCACAGAGCCACTACATAGTTACGGCAATATGGAGACCTTCAAACCACCACTTCCTGCAGACATCGCACTTCTCGGTTCCCTCTGCATACCCTCATGGATCAAATAACAAAGCACAAACTCGACCAAGCCGCAAAGGCACTAATAGCCTCAATCGACCATTCAAAAGTTTGCGATTTGGCCTCATCCTTCCACCAGGACCAAAGCCCCTGCCGAATATTCTCGGAGTGGACCAAGGGCAGCTATAATGTTTGCTTTTCTGTGATTTATAATCAAGATACAGAGAGCGTAGACGGAGAGGAATGGATAGTGAGAATCCCATTGCTTCCACGATTGGCCTTTCCAGAAGAAAAGATGCGTGGTGAGATTGCAACCATGAAGTCAGCTTCTCCTCAAGATCTGAGATACTTATAAGATATAATACCGTTCCCATTCCTCGCCTGTATGAATACTCAATCACAAAGGATAATATTCTTGCTTCAACAAACTTCCCATAACTGTGGACATATCAAACCCATCAAGATGACGTGAAAACTCCCATCCGGCTCCGAAAAGATTGCTGTGGCAGAAAGGCACAGTATATCCTCAAATGCATCGAAAAGGTGAAAAACTAGATCAACAACAAAGCGCTCAAACCATGCATAAACTACCGACTCTGAAAATTCAGCTTTCCATGACACTCTCTGCAAACCACAATGCTGCAAAAGCTGCAATGAAATAGGTCCTTTTTGCCTTTCCCTCCTGTCTCAGTTTCTGTATCCTCTCGATCACAGATCACCTTTCCGCACGCCTCACAATTCATATCGTAACCGAGATCTTGATTGCGCGCGGGCAAGTCGCTGTGCCACCAATGCGGGCATTTCCACGAGTTCCATATACTGCCGGGCTCCTCGCCAAAATCATGATCCCCATCATCCTCCCACTCAGAGTCAAGATCGTCCGTGTCGTTGCCCTCGTTCTCGCCCCCGATATTCTCATCATCATCGTCCTCGTCGTCGTCTTCGTCGTCATCGTCAGTACAACCCTCCTGTCTGCACATTTTGGTCGACCTCAGGCACTCCCAACAGAAGGTGAATCCGCATCGACAGCCCATAGTGTTGCAGCCGAACATCCTGCGCACACCCATCCGACACTTGGGGCATCGCTTTATCTTGAGTTTTGTCAGGACGGCCTCGATTTCGGGGTCGAGCTCATCTGTGGCACATGGACTGCCGGGGTGCTTGAGCTGTTTGCACGTACAGCAGACTTGGACCGTGCACTTGGGGCATGCGATGGACGGGGGTTCATATTGTTCAGGAACCGGTTGTTCTGTCGCTTGATCTGCATCGGGAGGGGGTTCCTTGGTTGATTCAACCTTCGGTGTAGATTCGTTTAGAACTATTTGTTCGTCGTAAATCGGGTAATTGTCAAGCGGTCGAGCTGTGGGTGGAAAGAGCCTGTAAGGGATGAATGCGGAACAGGTTGGAACAGGGCAGTAAGCCCTGTTTGCAGTCCTGGCCTCCTCCTCTTTTTCCATATACAGCCGCAACTCCTCTGGTCTGAGCACTCTCCTGATAGCACCCATATTGATCGGCCCACAGCATTTCGGAGGCATTTCGGCCTCATTACTGCAGGCGCGCAATGCCCACTCACGAACGCAGTTGCGGCAATGTATGTCGGCACAGATTTTGCAGGGGCGTATGATTTTGGATCTCCGTGTATAGTTGCAACAGATGATGCAGTCCCCCCCAAGCTCGGACTCATCAAGCCACTCGATCCTCCGGAGCGCGGCAAAGAAATAGTATGTAGCATCTCGACCATCGTCCGGCTTCTGAACAAACGGCTCCCACTCAATTATCCCCAGCTCAACAAGAAAGCGGTCAGCTGTGGAGCTCATCGCAGCAGCGAAACCGGGCTGCTGGATCGAATTTTCGCTTTGCTTGGTCCTGGTATCTTCAGAGACTCCTAGCAGTGGCTCGAACGTAGCATTGTCGCTATTTTTCTGAGCAGTTGGCTGACCCTCAATGCTACTTATGCGATTATTCTCTTCGACGCGCCTCGTGCGACGGACCCTACGCACGATACGGGCGAACCAGGACATAAAGAAACAAGCCGTCAGAACGACAACTAGTTAGAGCATATAAACACAGAAATGATCAAACAGAGTGAAAAATAAATATAAAGTCCTGGTGTCGACGTATGTACAGGATCATGACCGAATTGGTGCGTGCAAAACGTCCTCATCTGTCCACATTGTGCGGCGTTCCTGATGGCATTTATATCTTGTTGCAAGCTCAAGGCAACAAGGTGAGTCACATCCGGCCCCAGAGCAGGTTGCAGCAGGCCAAGTCCACTCAAAGAGATTGATTCCTTTGGCGGACACTCTTTCAGAATTGGAATGTTAGCGTTGAGTCAGACCAGCGCTAGTTAATAGTGAGTGCTTCGAATGGGTTTCTCCGGGGACTCCTGGTGGGTGCCTAGAAGCTAGCGGCTCCGCGCCTCCCCTAACTTTCAAGGCGACGAGTAAGAAGCCAGCACGCCGGCAATCTTTCAGCTCGATCCATCACTTGCGAATCGGCACAAGCAGGCGGCCTCTGTTCTGGGCATGGGTTGACCGTTGGACTCGGCCTTTGCTCCGGAACCACGGCATAATTGGACATTCAAGCTGTGAGGATAATGATGTTCACGAAGCGAGTCCATCAACGGGAAATAAATGATAAGCAATATTAAAAAGTTCATGAACCATAAAATTCGTTATTTTTATTATCAGGGATCTAAAATTCTGAGCGTTTTTGATTCAAGGAGGCCAACTACAAGTTCCTCATGATAGATAATAAGACCTCCTTTGATCCACGACAACTCCAAATCTCACCCCGGAGAGAAAATTGAACAAGTTGTCAATTTATTTCTTGGCAGCCTTCTGGGCGGCCTTGGTGACCTTACCACCAGCCTTCTCAGACTTCTCAACGGACTTGATGACACCGACAGCGACCTATAGAGGGGATTAGCAATTGACCATTGTCTATGAGTTGCATTGGTAAAACTTACAGTCTGTCTCATGTCACGGACGGCGAAACGACCAAGTGGTGGGTAGTCAGTGAAAGCCTCAACACACATAGGCTTGGATGGAACCATCTTGACGATAGCAGCATCACCAGACTTGATGAATTTGGGGTTGTTTTCAGTAGATTTACCGGTACGGCGATCGATCTTCTCAAGGAGCTCGGAGAACTTGCAAGCAATGTGGGCAGTGTGGCAGTCAAGGACTGGAGCATAACCAGCACCAACTTGACCAGGGTGGTTGAGAACAATGACCTGGGCGTTGAAGGAGTCGCAGCCCTTGGGGGGGTCGTTCTTGGAGTCACCGGCAACGTTGCCACGGCGAACTTCCTTGACGGAAACGTTCTTGACGTTGAAACCAACGTTGTCACCAGGGTTACCCTGGGTGAGCTGCTGGTGGTGCATTTCGACGGACTTGACTTCAGTGGTGACGTTGGCAGGAGCGAAAGTAACGACCATACCAGGCTTGATGATACCGGTTTCGACACGGCCGACTGGAACAGTTCCAATACCGGAGATCTTGTAGACGTCCTGGAGAGGGAGACGGAGAGGCTTATCGGTAGGACGGGTTGGGGCATCGATGGCATCAATAGCATCGAGGAGGGTCTTGCCAGAGGCCTTGCCAGCAGCGGTTTCCTTGTTCCAGCCCTTGTACCAAGGAGCGTTGGTGGAAGGTTGGATCATGTTGTCACCTTCGAAACCAGAGATTGGCACGAATGGAACGGACTTGGGGTTGTATCCGACCTTCTTGATGAAGTTGGAGACTTCCTTGACGATTTCGTTGAAACGAGGCTCGGACCAGTTGGTGGTGTCCATCTTGTTGATAGCGACAATGAGCTGCTTGACACCAAGGGTGAAGGCAAGCAAAGCGTGCTCACGAGTCTGGCCATCCTTGGAGATACCAGCTTCGAATTCACCGGTACCGGCAGCAATGATGAGGATAGCGCAGTCGGCCTGGGAAGTACCAGTAATCATGTTCTTGATGAAGTCACGATGGCCAGGGGCATCTGGGTAAGAATTAGTAAACATGAATCGAGTGCGGTATCGGAATCAGATCCACATACCAATGACGGTAACGAAGTACTTGGGAGTCTCGAATTTCCAGAGGGCGATATCGATGGTGATACCACGCTCACGCTCGGCCTTGAGTTTGTCAAGAACCCAGGCATATTTGAAGGATTTCTTGCCCAATTCTTCGGCTTCCTATAGAACATTGGATATTAGCGATCAAAGTCGCAAACTGTTTTGATGTGACGTTGACAAGACTGCGATTTCATTGGTTCATCATGGGATGTGGTGCCTAATAATTTCTTTTTGGGCACAAATCCTTGTGGTGGGGTAATTGTGTGATCACCCTCGCTTCGGTGGCTTGGATGAACACCCCACCAAAGATGTTTCAATCGAGTCATCGACGCGAATTAACGAAATTTGTAGCATACCTTCTCGAACTTCTCAATGGTACGGTTGTCAATACCACCGCACTTGTAGATCAAGTGACCTGTAGAAATTGTTGGTTAGCATCTTGCTGTTGTAGAGGATCCTCGAATCGACTTACCAGTGGTAGTAGACTTGCCGGAATCGACGTGGCCGATAACGACGATGTTGATGTGTGTCTTCTCTTCCTTACTGCAAGGGCGATAGAGTCAGTTCTGTTGTTTCTGATGGCCTCGAAGATCAATGCAACGTACCCCATTGTGAAGGATTTTTATGATTTTTTGAACGAAAAAAAAAAAGGCTGAAGTCTTGTAGCTCTTTGGAAGATGCTAGAAGAGATCAAAAGAATGCTCAGATACTACGGCCACAGTGCGTAGAGGTGCTGAGAGGTGTTAGTGAGATGGAAGGAGGATGGTCAAGCAATATATGGACGGGAGAAATACTCACTGAAGCAGACGAGGAAGAAAGAAGAAGAAAAAATTTGTGTGAAAAGAATAGAGGGAGGGGTTTTTGTATGGAGGGGTGAGCCGAAGTCAATCTAGAGGCGAAACCTTACTCGAATAGGCATGGTGGGTCCGACTTGCCCTCGCTTTACCGCTTTGGGCGGCCCTCAGTCAAGGAGGGGCAAATGCTGCCCCACCAACAACAGCGCAACCTATGAATCTCTGCTGAAAATTCTGATCCAACGGTGGGCTGCAGCACTCCTTGGCCACGCAACCCTGGAAACTCTGCTGACGCCTGCCAAATGCTTCCCGACTTGTTACTCAGAAACACCCCCTCCCTTTTTCACCGACTCACCATCGTCTGGGCGGTGACTCCAAACTGAGGGGCACAGGTACCTGTCTGGTTGAGTGCTAATCCCGTGGTTGCAAGCCCGACTTCTGGTGGCGTTTACTTCCCCCTCAAGGTTTTCAATTGATCCGCTTCCACTTCCAGACTCCGCTCTTTGACTAACCTTTCCAACCTATCCGTTAACCGCCGCCTGTAATCCGTGTGTCCAGCTTAATTCTAGCCTTGTCGACTCATCGTGGAGTGCTGCTACTATACTTGCCACACAGCCTGCCACGTTAACCTTGAAATGAAAATCTCTACATGGACCCATATCGACTGCTTCACATAACAGCGAATATTCAAGTTCTGGTGGGTTGGGAACAGGACCTTGTACGGTGCCAGCACACAGGCATTTCGGGTACGGTTCATGTGAATTAATCTTACTCTAATCTGTATAATTCGGCACGCTTGGGCACCAACATCTTACATATGACTCTTATGAGTCGGAACATTCAGAACGCTGCAACCCATGAAGTCATGTTCGGAATTTTGCCAAAGCATGATTAATGCGAGAACAATCATAGGTGAAGATTGGCTGTGGTTTCGACTTGGGTTCAAAGTCGGAAATCAATTTTCTCTCCAACGAGCCCCGCAGGTAGTGCACTGGAATTCGATGTTAGTCAAGACCTTCAATATAGTTCTCTCAGCTGCTCGTACTTTAAGAAAAGTTGTCATGGGCTCGTCTGCGCTGCGAATCTGTAGCTGGTAAAAGTATGCACGGTCTCCCTCGCAACCCTCCGCTGGGCATTGAGCTATCAGATGAAAATTAGTTTCTGTCGAGGATGTGTCTCATGTCCATGAGAGCCGTGGAGCACTCACCTCGCATGTTATCAGCATTCTTCCATTCGTCCTTTCCTCCCATCACATCCGCTACTTCCTTCCGCTTCATCTCCGTCCGTTCGAAGTATGTTCGATCCAGGATGTATTGATAGGGACAGGTGCGGCATTCGAATCGATTAACGCCAAGGGGGTATTGGGACGTAGAAGGCCCCCTGGATATGGTCAGCGCATTGCTGCAATTGGGGCAGACTAAAAGAATCGTTAGCAAAACGACCCTACACGTTTTTGCTAAAGAGGAGAACGACTCACAGGTCAGAGGCATTTCAACACTGCGCGCAAGCTGAACTCTGCTATACACGGCCAAGTCTCATTTCCAATAACGGAATTTACTTAATTCCATTTTTAATATTGGACAAACTCAGAGGGCCCGCATGTTTGGCTTGTCTGCTTGCTTTTTGTGCACAGATGTTCATTTCAGTCACGGTGCAAATACGCGTTCCAGGGTGTAAGGGTGGGGTTGGTTGTGCCGCGCGGCTAATTTTCTGTAACTTAATTAAACGCGCGTATTTCAGGCTCAATAGGGCCAAGCGCCGGAATATTTCTAATCCAGCCTATCATAAGCGCCTGTTCCTGTCCAGCCTCCCCCGTGGTCGTCATCACCGCCGTATCAGAACCGTCAACAACACAGCTTTCGGGTGCTACTCCCGTACACCTGACTGCTCAAGCCACCGTTTCGTTTTGGATACCTTCGTTCTGCTTATTATTACCGGCTGTCGATGTATAGCTCGCTTGTCTGCCTGGCCTGAAACAAACGGAACCCCGCCATCCTGGTCATCCGTCGTCGTGATCTCGCCATTTCTTCTCTCGTCTGCTCCGTCGACACTCCTCGACTCTTCTTCCCTCTGCTCTCGCTTTGCAACGTTAGGCGTCTTTAGCACTTCTCGATATCTTTGTTTCTGCGTCTACCGGCGTCATTGCATTCCGTTCTCAACTCTGTTTCAACTGCCCCTCCCGTGAAGTTTGAGCTTGAGGTTGTAAAATGGCGGACGAAGAAGTGAGTTCTACTCCTTTCCGACGATTGATCTGACGAAACTGATTCGTATCCCTCGTTCAGGGTGCTTCTCCTCGCGAGGTGGTCGTTGAGGCCTGTCGGCGTGACCAGCCCCATCTTCTGGACGAAGTGACTGAGAAGAATCTCGCCGAGAAATCCAAGGAAGAGATTGCAGAGTTTTTCAACGAAGTCACCGACTCCATGGGCAATCACGCTCTTCATATTTGTGCAATGTATGGCAGCTGTAAGTTTAGGCCATTGCCGTTTTCCCCCTTGGTTGCATGCCCATCATTGCTTTGAACATCGACTAATGTCGCTTCCTTCCTTTGTGTAGACGATGCAATGGACTGGCTCTTTGATATCGAATTCTTTGAATGTGACCCGCAGAATCGAATTGAGAAAGATACCCCACTGCATCTGGCCGTCCGTTATGCCAATGAGAAAGATATCAAGCTTGGGTTGGCTATGGTCAAAATGATGCTCGAAGCCGGCTGTGACCCTAGAGTCAAAAATAAAAGTGGTAAAAAGCCCGTTGACTTCACAATTCCTCAATACAAAGAGGTCAAGCTTGCTCTGCAAAAGGCGGAGTATGCTCTTCAGGAAGGAATCGAGCACATGCCCGAAGATGAAGATTCGGATGAGGGGACGAGCGGTAGTGACGGTGGGTGAAAGCAATTTTGGGTGAAGTCTATATGCTGTGTACCAGGCTCCATCTGATCCAACATTTGCAGAAAACAACTCCTTTTTCTTCCCCCAAGTCAGACAACAGTGATTTGTTAAATTCAATTTCTATTTCTTTATGGTGATACGACATTTTCTTTACTTTCAACATGAGCATGGCATGGTGTTCGGCGCGACATTACGCCTGGAAGATATCGAAACCAAGGTAAAAAGAAATCTAGCAGATGAGCTTACTTGCTGCAGAGCGTGGCTAAAATCTTCCAGGAACTATTCGCACCTTTATCCCCCAATATCCAGCATAACACTTACTTTGCTTTTTCCTTAAACTTGCTTTACAAGTTCAACTGTTAGGGCTTTATTTATTACCTTTCTTCACATAAATTACTATCAAAACAAGAAAGCAACTATGGCGGTTACGTTGCATGTTATAGTGGTATGTAGACCGAATATAAAGTATGATTATCACCCAAAAAGGGGAAATACGCCCATCATTTTCTCGTTTATGTGCCCTTGATACAACCCCCTAAAGAACAGGCCTAATGTGTCTCCAAACCACGGCAGAGGTACTCTGGGATTAGAAAATGTGACAAAAGAAAAAACTGCACAAGGGATACGAAGGTAGCATCGTCCTCTTCTCAAGGCCGGCCTCCTCGTCTTCATGGTATCATTATGTAGTTCATATCAACACCTATCCAGCATAATCCCCATCATGATCCACATCCGCACCTCTCCGAGACCTTCTACGGGTCTGCTCGTTCTGAACCGGCGCGCTCGCCTGCTGCTGAGTCGCCCCAGCCTCCGCCTGCCGGCTAATCCCCAAGCTCCGCTCCAGCCTCTTCTCAAACTCCCGCATAACTTCCTCATCCTGCGCCTCTGGCCCGGGATTAATCTTCCCGAAACCGAATACCTCCCTCGCCATGCCCGCCACGCCGTCAAGGCCCACTTCCACCTTCCCCCGCGGGCCGACCAGATACTCGACTACCTCCTCGCCGCCGGAGACGTCGCGGTTGCGCACTATATATCCTTCCTTGCAGAGACGGGCGAGGAGCTTCTCGGTCCGGTCGATGGGGGTGTAGTTATCTGCGTGGACGCGGCGGAGGTAGCGCTCTAGCTTTTGCTCTTGGATGGCGCCGCCGGAGAGGGTGATGAGGGATATTATGAAGGTGTAGATGGCTATGTAGGAGCTTTCGATGGTGGAAGAAGGGGCTTTGGAGGGCGGGAGTATCTCGGGGATGCGGTATTTGGATGGAAGGGTTGAGACGAGGGTCCAGGATTTTGAAGATGAAGAGGCTTTTTCGGCGCGTTGGGCGGCTGTCGTTTTGCATATCAATTAGGTCTTTTTTTTCTGTTCACTCTTGAGTAAATGGCATTAATGGGAGTCTGTACCTCTTCTCTGGCTCACTGAAAGCTTCTCCTTCATCGGCTGCTCCACCATCTCCATACCGAATATATCTTTGAGCACCTTCTGCGCCTCCGCAAAAACAGGTTTGAACTGCCGTGATCGTTCGCCCAGAACCTTTTGACTGATATCGCTCCGCCGAATCGGCTGTCGCGAGTATTCGCTTGCCAGGGCCAGCCGGACCATCTTCTTGACCAGGGGATTCACACCCAGGATCTGTGTGGCGCCGAGCTGCGTGTCGTCCTCCTCGTCGGAACCGCTATCAACGGGCGATTCTGTAGCGGTGCGGCGCCGGTTCCGCGTCTGCTCGGGTTCTGTGCGATCGGGAGTCTCGACGGGAGAGTCATCGTCAACATCCGCCTAGATCTCGTTAGATAATTTGCGTGGGAAGGCCGCACGGGGGTCATGGGGATCTACCACGCGACGTTTTCGAGCGGCGGGCATGGCGGGTAGGTAGGCGATCGATATCAAAAGGCAGCGGTCGCAAATTGTCAAATCGAATTGTCTTTTGCTAATCTGTCTCTCTGTCTTTGATTCTTATATCGGATTGCATTCCGACGCGATAACGACGCGTTGATAAGGAACTTATGCGCCAAGCAACGGTCCAGATCTTAGTTTACAACACTTCTTCCTCAATGAACCAACTGAACAACACCGCCAGTTCCCTAAGTTTAACACGGGATACCTAGCCTCAGTCTATTGAAACAAGACTAGATGAAGGACAAAGATGATTACTATACATGATCTTTCGGACAATGTCTGCAGCTTTATACCGAACAACCACTTTCCGCTCAAATCGACAAAAAAGCCCCGTATTAAAGTGTACTAATCTCTCATCAGAATGCCTAACCTAGGGTCGAGTAAAGCATCCGATTTCGAGCATCGAATCGTTAATATCAACACCGCCTCTCTTCCAAAATTACTGTCCGTTCCCACCAGCCGGAGTGTTCACTTTCGACCCCTTTAGCGCCCCAGTCACCGTGGACAATGCTTGTCCGACGAGATCTTTCCCAGGGCCCGATTTCATGTCTGGAATCGCACGTTTCTCGTTCCCATCTAGTTGGGCCGGCATGTCGGGAGCTTGGTCGTCTCCCTTCTTCGGGGGCACTAATCCCCACTTGAGTGGGCCGAGGACTGGATCGAGAGGGTTACTACTGTCTTGAGCGGAACGTGCCTGTGATGGGAAGATTAGCATGGAAAAATATAACAGTCTCTGCAAACACCGTCACCCTTGAGTCGGCTTGCGGAAATGGTGTGGTCTTACCTGGACGTCGTTTTCGCATGGGATTGGAGTGGCCATCACGGCACTTGCCATCAAGGCAGCGAGAGCGTAAAAGAATTTCATTGTTTCGAAACGGCGGATGGATACGCGCAGTTAAGACAAGAGAAAACTGGTTTGGGATGTTGTTCTTATTGAACTTTTTTCTCGTCTGATATCGGGGGGCGTCGAGGGGCCTATTTATCCTCCGTCTTTGGCCTCGATCGATTCCTCCTCGATTACCAGCACATTTGCACATTTGCCCCATAGCAGATCCCATAGTCGAATAGCATGCCGTTTCTCGTGCATAACATTTACAGAGTACCACGAACGGGGCAGGTTTTCCCCTGGGGACTCGGCTTGCAATCCGGGCTGTCGACTGCAATCTCGCAGATCATGCAAATCCTGAAGACTCGGAGCATCAATGCTGCTTCTTCAAGCTGATGAAACCGATGATCGCGGGTAGGCGTCGGCCCAGCGCAGCATCGAGAATCCATTGCGACATATACTCCGTTTATGTTTGTACTGCGGAAAAAGGCAATGGAAAGTCAACTGGCAGCTTGCTTGAGCCTGGACGTTGTAGTTTCTCAATAAACATCACATTAGCAATCAAACACCGCACTTTGCACAAGTCTACTCCGTTTACCAATATGGGCTCCCGTGTCAATTGAATACACACTGCAAGCCACCTGCTAGAAGTTGGCCAAAAGGGGCTGCAAAGGTCTTAAGGTACGTCATCCAGGGCAGATTCACGGCCATATCAATGGTTGAATAATTCTCAAAGGTCCTGATGGCTGACCTGATTATCGATATTGTGATTAATCCTGGGGTTACACGCGTCGTTCAATTTCCTACAGATTATGTACTCCGTCGACAACAGCATTTGGGGCGCTCCCTCACATATCCAGCGGATCATCAACATGCTTGCTCATATTAAAATTGTTCGAGTGATGCTCTTTCCCCCATTGCCATATAGCTTCGAAGTCACGGCACTGATGCATCACGTTGGCCATTGCTTTTGCTTCCTGTTCCTCCTCGTCCCACTGGAATACTATTGGGGTGATATCCGAAGAGCACATCAGGCTCTGCCGGATCGAATCAATACAATGGTCAACGTGCTCAATGCTCAGCGTATCATCATTGGGATCGACAGCTTCTGTGGCCCAAATCTTTTGGCGAATCGCATTCTAGGCCATCATTCATTATCAGCTAATGTCGTCTAACAGCAATGTGATAAAAGGTTTCGCCAGAACATCGCACAGTCCCCTGAAGATGACGTACCAGGCAGTGAAGTTGATGGAACACGTCCAGAGCAATGGCATAATGACCCGGATCATCAGGGATCGGAACCGTTTTATTCACAAGCTCAGCTGCATCGGACATCTTGATTCTACTGAGTCCAACTGTACAGCGGTTCGTAGCTGCTCATAGACACTGCGATATAAACACTGCTGTTTAGCACTTACAGTCGTAGAGATCGCTCCAGGCTTTATCCACCTCTGGCGACGGGCGTCCTTGATACTTGCTCAGATCCGAGCCAAATCCGGTTGTGAATACCACGTTTTTGTACTTGATCACGTTTTGCGCAGGGGCTATGAGATCCCAATACCTGATCAGCTGTCAGTTTATCTATCATTTGCGGAAAAACTCACAGTAAATCTGAGCCCTTGGGTAAATATCCGTCTGCCGGTTGATTTTCACCCATGCATGGCTACATGCAATTGCAAGAATGAAGATGATAAGCCATTGTGCAAGTAACAATGCCTTTGTGGATATGTTGCAGAGCTTAGGTTTCTTCGTACCAAACAATCCATCAGGATTGAGAAATGGTTCGCTCTGCGTATCCCTTTCACCTTGCTCACAAGAATGTCGAGGTAGCATGATCTGAAAAAGTCACTGGCGTCGTGCCAACGAGGGACAGGAGAATAGTTTCTCTCTTTTTTTTTTCATTGCCAAATAGGCACATAGGGATTTATAGCTAGGGTTATTGCTCTGGCGGATTAGAATGCCAACATGGACCCCTGTACCGGATAACATTGGAGAGTCTGAGTATTACTCCATTTTAACTAGTTGAAATACGCCGTACGGAGTACTCCGTACGGCTGCGAAAATAAATCAGCGAGGGCGATTCAACGCGGTACTGTTATATTTCTTTTTCTTTCCCTTCAATATCTCCGCAGGGAGATCATGTTCATCCCAATCCTGCATGCTCGATCTTCGCCTGTGATACTGTATCCAGGCACAGACACCTTGAAACCTCGAAACGCCCCATCTTTGATCGAAGGTGCATGGACATGACTGGTTTGGGTTCCAGAGTCCGGTAAAGCAAGCTAGCTTCTTTTAACTGCCAACTGTCAGTCGTGAAAACGGCACTCGTTGACAAAGTCTCCTGGGATAACGACGTAACTGACTGTCGATGGTGGCCCGCTCTAGATACCTATATCGGCCAAAGTGTCTCTGGCCGAATAAGCTCGTTAGATCGAGAGCAAAAAAGAGGCAATCCTAACCTTGATTGCTTTGGTCAAGCCGCGATGATCAAGCTGATTACTTTGTCCGGAGCACCAACTCTCAAACTGTGATTATCAGGGTTACACAAAGACGCAAGCCGCCAGTCGATCTCCCAAAGCGGAACATCGTCTCGAGTAGTAAAGAGTGGCTGAACCCAGAAGCTTCGAACCAATTTTTCGGTCTGCTTTGTCGGTGCGCGAATAAATCAGTCGGTTCTTACTAAGCAGAACTGTGCCGTTGTCTTCCGCCCAAAGCTTCAGCTGTGCGCAATCTTGAGCAGTCGATTATCAAACTCCTCATGATGAATGATATTGTTGGCTGAGCTTGCTTAAAACTCCAAGAGCAGTCAGCCCAACCTCGATAGTTATACATTTTGAACATACACTTGCTTGCTTCCATTATTAAACAAAGACAGTTCAACCGGTTTCGAATATTTCATAATGCCTACCTCGTCTGAGTCTTCGGGTGTCACCGGCAAGTTGGCTGGAAAGAGTGGCCATTGGGGCAGTCGCGGGGATGAGATCCTTCGGGCACTGCCCAGGGACACTCCCTGGTATTATTATAGTAGTATATCGAAAATGGAAAAAGCAGTTACCAATGTGGAAAGAGGAAAGGACAGATTTAACGACCAATTTGTTGTCTTCCTTGAGATTCCGCAACATGTGGTGAATCAGAGTGCTAGTGAATCGGGGCCATTTTGCAAATTAAGGCCCGATTACCTGACAAAAGAAAAGATTCTCATTCTGAAGATGGTTTCCCGGCCACATGAGATGATATGCGGCGAGTTTCTCCTTGTTCTTTTTAACAGTTTTGGTAGCTTGGGCCACGCTCTCCGGCGTGAGCTAGCAATTGTGGGGACGGCACAAGTACAGGGAAGGGATCGAGCAAAGAGTCCAGATGGATCACTTATACCACTGGTCCTCCCTCCTGGAAGAAGCGATCAATGGCCAGCATTTGTGTTGGAAATCGGTGTGTCAGAAGGTGCTGCAAAGCCTCAAAGGGATGCCATCTGGTGGCTTCAAGAATCACAAGGAGATGTTCTACTTGCAGTCACAATAAAGCTCAATCGGCGCAAACGAAGTCTCACTATAACAAAATGGGAGATGGTGGATAAATCGACCAGACGTCGAAACCAGAGGGCCGAGGCCACACAGATTATCACCATTGTTGTGCCTCAGGATAAGGAGAATATCAGCATCAGAAATGCTCCTTTGGTGCTTCCATTCAGGAGCATCTTTGCGAGGGATCCGGTGGGGGATGAAGGAGATGTTATCATCGACAGCGCGGCCCTTGAAGACTTCGCAAAGAGGGTGGCTACTCAATTCTAACTCGGCTTCTTATAAAAACCACTCCGTCCTCCCGTATTTTATATCCATCGCAATTGCTGACGTAATCGCCGATCCTCTACACCTAGCTAAACGAGCATCTTCATGACCCTGAGCGTTTTCTGGAACACTTTGAAAATATAATATAAATGCCTTTCTGGCTTCGATGAGCCTCATCAATGGCTGACATGCTCGAAAGTCCGGATCATGATACGCCCAGCGCTTCTGGCATCAGTGCCCTGCTCCGTGACAGTCCACTTTTGAGCCCTCTCGAACAGGAGGTTCTCGATGAGTATGCGAAATTGCTCGATAATATGAACAAGGTTGGCTTTACACCGTCCAATTGCATTCCCCCCGCCGTGTCCGCTGCTATTTTGATTGCCGCGCACCTGCTTCGCGTGGACCACATCATACTGACTGCTCTGCCGTGGTTGTCTAGCTCTCCGACTCCCTTGCGTTCCTCGCCTCCCGACCCGCTGCCGAGACTCTCGACGCGTTACGGCTGCTAGAGCGCAAGACTGCGACGATATATACTCTTTTGAAAGCGAGCGTGTACAGCATCGTATTGCAACAGCAGATTTACAACGGCGAGGAGGAAAGGTGAATGATCTGGTGGAATGGCATTCTTGCTAGTGGTGGCCGATGACAGGCCAGCGCTGTGCTTCTCCGGACTACGAGGACGAACGGGGGGATTCAGCAGGGGTTTGGGAAGCAACCATACAGCGGCTCTTTAGATTTCTGCACTAGATGAGCCCTTATTCTTCAAAGACATCCTGCATGGCGTATGCAAGGCCGAGGATTTCTGGGTCGGACGCGGATTGCATACAGAAAAGCTCCGACAATGCTAGCTGTTGATTGCACACTGACAATCAACAATCTGTATTGCTGTTTGTTGGAAGAGGGGAAGAATCCATCCGCACGGCCACTCTTCACTCCCGCCCTTTTAACTCCATCGCACTAGGATTTACCCAGTAAATTGAAACTGAGCTGGGGTAGTTTAACCGAAAGGGCCTTCAGATAGTCTTGAATGAATAGCATTGTCAGAACCACATCACCCACTTTGATTCCTTCACGCTTCATCGCCAACCGAGCAAGCCAAATGCGAGTAGCGACGGTGGCTTGTTGCGGTGACTTGGTAGCCCGTTAGTTAGCCCAAGGCGTTAATCCCCACAGTTTTAATCGTCACTTTTAAGGAGATTTTGACTTTTGGTTCATCTTCCCTGAAGCCTTGACCATTAAGCCGCCTCCACAGCATCCTTTTCTCGGGCCCTCACCTCCTTTCTTCTTGCTTCGAATCCGTATTTTCTGTTCGAATTAATTGACCACTCGACACCTCTGCTCGCGCATTCCCCGCTGGCCCCCGTGGTGCTTGGTGTTCCCCTTCTGTTTCAACTTTTGTTTGTCCTGCACTGCGGCGTCTCTGATTTGCCTCTTTCCATCTCCTGCTGGTGACGATCATCAACCGTTTCCCAACGGATTAATCCACTTGCCTCGTCTCAGAACAGGATTCTTGGGGCCATCTGCCCGTCCCCTAGCCCTGGCATTCTCCCGACAGTCAAACGTCCAGGAAAAGTGAGCAGCAGCATTACGAATCACCTTGCAGGAATCCTCCTGCAAAATAGCCCTCCTTTTCCCACTTCCATTGTTGTCCACGCATCATCCAACGTTCCAGAACCAGCACCAACGTCCCAATCGCGCTCATTCATCATGGCCGATTCAGCGTCGGTCTCTGTGCCAGGTATGCATCATCGAACCCTATCCAATTTCATTTCTGTTTTGCAATTGCTCCACAGCTTGTCGTGACATTGTGTCAGCTTGCTTCCTCCTTGCGTTGATTTGTTAATGGAGCGGGAGAGCTTGCTTGCCCGCTCTGCTGCTTGTTCCCTGAATTCAAGAAGGGATTTCGCAGCCAGAATAATAAAATAAAAACTTGGTTGGCTTGTGTCACGCTTCTTAATATCACCAAAGCGCCTGCATGTCAGCAGTTATTAACACGTTGTCAACCTCTCTAGACCGGCAAGCTTCCCCTCTCCTTTCCGTGCCTCTGGGATCCAATAATCCCTTCCGCAACAGGACTTCATCGGCATCTCTACTCGCAACCCCAACTGGAAGACCTCGACCAGTGTCCACCAACCCGTTCCTTGACGAGTCAGAAGCCCTTGCATTACAATCTGCAGGAAACATGTCACCCACTAAGACTTCGAAACTGGACCCTGACGTCGTTGATCGCGCGTCACGATTGTTTGTAAGAAATCGTCGCCCCTGAGCTTATTTGCTTCCAAATTCATATTCATGGCTCTTTCCCCAGTACTGACTGCTCGCAGGACAACCTTTCCTTAGACCCTCCAGCAAAACCCAGAGAACGACGGCCCCCTCCTCCGCCAAATTCCGAGAATCTTCCAAGTGGCAGATATCCAAAGGGAAAAGAGCCTGCGCGCCCACCTCGTCGTCCATCGAAAGAGGACCCAAATTCTCGCCGGCCTGGAACCTCAAAACCTTTGATTGATATTTTCGCCGATCCCCAGGAACCCCGTCGACCACACCCTCATCGCAGAGAGCGACGTCGCAGGAACTCAGAATCCTCTGTTATGGAACGATCTAAGCCTCTTGACCCAGAGGAGGAGCGGCGTCGACGAGAGCGAAGACACAAAGACCGAGATGCAAGGCACAAAGACCGATCTCATCATTCACGAAAAAACAATTACAAGCTGGACATAATCGACAAGCTTGACGTTACTAGTGTTTATGGCGGAGGTTGTAGCTGCCCGCACATCGACTATTATACTTGTATGCTAACTTCTCTGTGTAGTGTTCCATCACGATGGTCCTTTCGATGCGTGCAACCCTCACCGAAACCGCAAAAATCTGCGCAATGCTCCTATGCAAGCTTTCCCAAAGGACTCAAGAAACATGGCTCTGGGCGGAGCCGGGCCAAACAACAGCAGTCTAGACCTTAATCAATTCCACGGACGTGGCGAGGAAGGATACGCTGATTTCTCAAAGACAAGTCGCACAACTGAGAGATTCGACCCGACCGCTAGAGTAGAACCGATCCACGGAGCTGAGAGTATGGGTCTTGGAACTTCCACCTTTTTAGAAGGAGCTCCCGCTAGCCGTGCTGCGATCGAACGACGACAGAGCGAAACGGAAGCTCAAGCCCTACAAAGCGCGGGATTGCAGCGTAAAAAGAGTTTAGCACAGAAGATTAGAGGGATCAACACTCGCGGCGGCGCTGGACGTGTTACTTCTCCTGAGCCGCCTATTCGCATGTCCCCAGTTAGCGGCCCTAGCACGAAGCGAAACGACAAGAACCCATTCTTTCAAGACTACGATGAAGCATATGATGTCAAGGGAGTGAGAATACAGGAGGTTGCTGATGAAGCGAAGAAGGATGGCGCCAGACCTCGATCCGTCAGCAGCCCGAAATCCATCTCTGTCTCGGAAAGAAAGTTGACTGGTGAAGGAATTACGAATGGAGAAACGAAACCGCAATCAAGTGGCGGAGGTATTGGCGGCGGACTCATGAACCGGATGAAGAGTTTGAGAAGGCCACGCCCGGAGAGGAGAACAACGGTCGGGGATGCCTAATGGTTTGGCGAAACGCTTCTTGCTTTGCTCAAACTGTATGCCTACATTACGAATTTGCATGTTTCCTTCTTTCTCTGTTCTTTCACCGCGAAGCCGCCCAATTCCGAGAATGGCGGCCTGAGGGTTTTATATTCTTTTATTCGAGTGTCATTCCTCCGGTGTATGATTCCCACATGCTTTTTTCCTTACTACTATGGTGTTCCCTTGCTGTCTCGTTATTTGTCTCCGGGATACTGTTTCATTCTAGCTCCCCATTTATATTCTATTCCCCGATTCCTAAACTACTGGCGTAGGTAGGACCAATGGCTTCTTCTAAGTAGTGTTGTAGCCAACACCTGGTCTATCAGAGCATCAAAGTGCATCTTGGCCGTGCTGACTAAACCACATGGCCGCCATCCCGTTTTGCCAAGGTTCACGTTTTTCGCCATCGACTCGCGAGAACCAGCGATGATCAGCAGCACGACCGGGCAGGGCTTGGGAAAAACCCCCCAGGCTGCTTGCAGGATCGGCACCGTGTTGGAGGCAGACTCGTCTGCTCGAGTGGCAGTGCGGGAGAGGGGGTGCAACGGCTTTTTCTCCAGGGCACAAACCACAACTTTAGGGCAAACGACCGTTTGGGCCGGGAATGCCGAAGACCCAGCGGAGCTTGTGAGATATCGTCTATGGGATGAGTGCACCCGCAGTCCAGTCTTTAGCAGTCTTTTTTAGACTTCCCGCACTTATGAGGAATTTTTTTTTTTCTTCCTTGGACTCCCCGCCTCGGATTTCAGCTTCTGCATTTTCTCTCTGCTTGATCAGTGTATGCTATCTCCGAGATTGATGGATTTACACAGGTTAATTGCATCATGATAGTGATCATGATTCAGGGTCTAATGATACCAGCTCTTTATCTTTTTACGAAGCCTCTTTTTATTTTCCACTTCCTCCATCTAGAAGAGAAAACTTTATTCCATTCCCCCTTGAAGGCTTTGTGCAGAGCAACCCATCATGGACGCCTGGGGAGAACGTGTCAATAATGCCGTCGCGAAGACGCGTTTCGGATATCGATTCCGTCTTGACGGCTCAGGTCATGTAAGGGCCCTCTCACTCTTCTTCCCTCACCTCGTCCCCTGCCACGGGCAGCGAAAGCGTGTCGGCGCCAGCGGCTTACAGTCTCGATGTGTTAGAGACGAGAACGAAAAGGAGCAAAATTCCTGACTGAAATTCGTGCCGGCCTGACCACCTTTTTCGCCATGGCGTATATCATCTCCGTAAATGCGAATATCCTTACAGATTCCGGCGGCCCATGTGTGTGCAACGACCCTGTTGACCCGAAGTGTATGGACAACCTCGAATATAATTTGTGCTTGAATGTGGTTAGGCGAGATATCATCACTGCGACGGCGGCGATTGCCGCATTGTCGTCGTTTTGTATGGGGCTGTTTTCGAACATGCCAATTGCGCTGGCACCTGGAAGTATGTCTTGATTCGGGAACCTTTTTTTCCAAATTTGACCACAGTTACTTCGTACTTGGAGACTGACGGCTTCTTTTGATAGTGGGCTTGAACGCTTATTTCGCATACAACGTCGTCGGCTTCCATGGCACGGGAACGGTCAGCTATCAGCTTGCTTTAACGGCGGTTTTCGTCGAAGGTTTCGTTTTCGTCGGCTTATCCCTGCTTGGTTTGCGTCAGTGGCTAGCCAGGGCGATTCCTAAATCAATCAAGTTAGCGTCGGGCGTTGGGATTGGGTTATATTTAAGTATGTTTATCAGACCTCTCCCTTGGCATTGCTGGACATGACTGACGGTGTAACCCAGCTCTCATCGGATTGACATATAGTGCTGGCATCGGTGCCGTCACAGGAGATCAGAGTACTCCCGTTACCCTGGCAGGATGTATCCCAGGCGCGATAGGCAAAGATGGCGCTTGTCCGTCTTGGGCTAAAATGCGCAACCCAACGATGTGGATAGGCATTTTCTGTGGTGGTATCTTGACGGCTGTGTTGTTGATGTACCGTGTCAAGGGTGCCATTATTGCCGGTATCCTTCTTGTGTCAATCATTTCCTGGCCACGCCCTACAGACGTCACGTACTTTCCATATACCCCTGAAGGTGACGATTCGTTCAACTTTTTCAAGAAAGTAGTCACATTCCACAAGATCGAAAAAACCCTCGCCGTTCAGGAATGGGATCTGAGCAAAGCAGGCGGCCAGTTTGGCCTTGCTCTAATCACATTCCTGTACGTCGACATTCTCGACATGACAGGTACCTTATATTCCATGGCTCGTTACTGCGGCGCCATCGACGAACGGACACAAGACTTCGAAGGCTCGGCCATGGCCTATCTCGTCGACGCCCTCAGCATCTCCATCGGCTCCCTCTTCGGCTGCTCGCCGGTCACCGCCTTTGTCGAATCCGGCGCTGGTATTTCCGAGGGCGGTGCCACGGGAATCACCGCCATGGTGACCGGTCTGTGCTTCTTTGTGTCTATTTTCTTCGCGCCAATCTTTGCATCCATTCCACCTTGGGCAACGGGCTGCACGCTCATCCTTGTCGGGTCTATGATGACCAAGGTTGCGGCGGATATCAACTGGAAGTACATGGGCGACGCGATACCGGCGTTTGTGTGCCTTGCCCTTATGCCATTTACGTATTCGATTGCGTACGGTTTGATCGCGGGTATTTTGACGTACATGCTGCTGAATATCCTTACCTGGGTCGTGGAGAAGTCGTCAGGAGGTCGATTAGTGCCGGAAAATAAGACATTCAAGGAGCCATGGACGTACAAAGTTCCTGGAGGAATCTTGCCGGCTTGGTTGGTGAGATTGCTGAAGGGGTAAGTTCCCACCGTTCTTTGTTTGTATTTCAATTGACGTATTTTTGCGGGCTTCGTTAACAATTTCAATTAGAAAAAAGGATTTTTGGCGCGAAGAGTCCCTTGATACCTCTTCCACGCCAACATCCGGATCCTTGACGCCTGTTGAACAATCGATTATTGCCGTTGACAAGGATCCTATGGCTGCTGAGTTAGGGCCCTATCATCCGTCCGAAAAGCATGAGTAACTGCAGGGGCGTAGTAGGGAATTTGGTTCGCTACTATTTAACCAGTGGGAATGGCATATGTTTCGAGGAGTTGTAACGGCAGGCATTCTATTTCGGAGTCAACGGATTAACGGAATATTTGTATATGCAAAACTTCACTTTTGCATAAAGGTGGTACACAAGAATCCGCCGTCCTTTTACGGATCTAAAGAAATACGGCAATGAGATAGATGGACCTTATTTCTAGGCGAGAAATAAAGGTCCTTGAAACTGCAGCACATGGAGCCAGGACAGAAATCTAGGCCGAAAAGAGGTATAGAGCAAAGCAGCCAGGCTGATTATATCAAAAGGCCAAAAGAAAAAGAGGAGTCGGTTTTTCGAACATAGGAAGTGAGATAGCAGCTAGTTCAGTGCTCATAAATGATCATGCTGGCCGTCTACCGAGTTATTGAGCAGAGGAAACGGGGAACCAAGCAAACAGGACAAACACAAAATTGGCCGCCAACCAATTGAACGCCGCGGCTAAGGGTGAATGAGTGATGGGCCAATCATAGCCGATCAACTATTAGCTGCGCTTATTGTGTGTGATGACATAATGAGCTTTTGGCGCAGCCGCGAACTTTCTGGAAGGTTCAGCGAAACCTAAAATAAGCTTAAACATCGAAACGTCGGGATGATTCCAGAACAAGCGCGATAGAACGCGAAGTATCAAGAAGCATCGAGCATCCTCAAAAGACATCACACTTGATTTGAAATCAGGATATCCCGACTCTTCGCGCATCTTCCAGCATCGGGCTCAAAGTGCATAAAAGGGCCCAACTCTCCCGCCATGGCTCGACTTCCTTTCCCATCAAGCAGACAGACGAACAACACTACAAAATCAATCCTCTTATGCGAAACAAGACTCTTCTTCATAACTTGAACAAATTCTCAAAGTTCAACAACGTACGCATTTTCAAAAAGTCGAGATCTCTATCTTCTCCAGTCCACTCTCGCAACATGGCCTTCTTCCCTCGTCTCACCGCTGGTGACTTCACCCCTCTCTTCCGTCTCTTGGACGACTACGATCACCACCGTGCCTCAGGCTCACACGGCACCAATATCTGCTCAATCCGATCCTTCACCCCAAAATTTGATGTTCGCGAAGTCAAAGACTCCTACCAACTCGACGGCGAACTTCCCGGCATCAACCAGAGAGACATTGAGATCGAATTCACCGATGAACATACCCTGGTGATCAAGGGCCACGCCAAGCGAGAATACACCGCTACAAACGAGGACACCACAAACGACGACGCCGCATCCACCAAGAGTTCCCACCAAGCCACCGTCGAGGACGAGGATACCCCCGCGTCATCCACGCCAGCGGAAACACCTACCACTGAAACCAACGAAGTTGTCAAACAGACCCCGAGCTCCAAGGCCGTGGGCAAAAAGCCAGGATACAAGTACTGGGTCTCCGAGCGCTCTGTGGGCCAGTTCCAGCGCACTTTCTCGTTCCCGGCGCGTGTGAACCAGGATGCGGTCGAGGCTAGCTTGAAGGATGGAATTCTGCACATTGTTGTTCCCAAAGCTTCGGCGCCGACGACGAAGAGAGTCAAGATCAATTAAGTGGGCGATTGCAGTAGTTGAATTTTCGGAGTGGCTCTCGGGTTTCAATGAGCGATTGTGATTATGAAGCGTTACGATATTGTCTTCGAAGCTTTCACGTTGGCTTTTGCTCCCCAAGTTAATGTATTAATAACCTCGTGTTTACTATTCCTCGAATAATTAATATCAAGTTTAAAAAACACAATATCTCTCCTCGTGTAGTGACGTTATCATCAAGTGCGGATCACTATAAAGATAGAACTGAAATATAGTATCTCTCACGATACATTTAGTCAACCGAAATTATCCAGCATGATAATACAAGAACGAGGAATCTATAAGAACCCGAACACCAATATATCTAAGACTTCCTTGCTAACATATGCAGGAAAGATACTCGCTAAATTTCTTATTGTACAAAATTTTTGACAAGACACCAAGGCGCTATTCACAATGCTCTGGGGTGATCCGCCAATGCGTATCCTATCCGCTACACCCAGATTTTGCATACGGGCTCAATTACTCTTCCTCGTCCCTATCAGCAAATGGCCAATGTCTTTCAATCATTTCTCTGTCCTCTGGCTCTGCAGCCATTAACACCTCTTCCTTAAACCCCTCGCTCCTTTCTTTCGCGGTCTCGTACAGCTCAGGCACCACCCAGCCGTCTTCGGCAACACCAATCGCCAACCTGGACCTTTCCATGTCTCGGTCACAGAGTTTCTGCTCTTCCTCTATTTCAAAACATCTGTCAATTTCTTCTTGTCCGTAATGCAGGGGGCATGGAGGTGGAGATTTGCTGTAGTCGGATTCCTCTAAGAGTTTTGTCCACCGCTGCGATGCTCTGATCAAGTCTGCTTTCAGCGTAATATTGTCCCCTTCCCATGGGTCCGTAGAATGTTGGAAGAGCTTTTGCTTTAAGACAACCTCAGGGTGTGTGCATGCATCGATATGATCCTTGTTGAGCTGCTCTGATATGGAAATATAATGAAAATGCGTACGACGTCGACGATACAACTCATTTGCGGCTTCTTTTTCATCAGGGTCCAACTGGTCAATATCCTTCGGTAGTTGAGGTACGATGAGGTCTTCGGATTCTTGGTCCCCGTAGTTCTGAAAATATTTCGGAGGCTTTGCCTGCAAGAAAAGGGGAAGGATTGAGCAGTGCTGCCAGTCTATCAGCCCGCTGATAGTCAAAGTCTCGGAAATGAGTATGTTATTTGGCTGAAGGTCAGGATGACGTAAAGTCGGGCGGTTCAGATAGCTGCCTTGAGGCGGTGCAAGATACTTGGCAATCTTCAAGTAATCCGTTAAATTAGCGATATGCTTTTCTGGAGAAACCTTTTCGAAATTGTAGATCTCCCTATAGAGAGGCTCGAACGGAAATCTAGTCCTAGCATATTGTCTCGCCCATAGGACCTCCCGCTCAGCACCGGCCAAAAGGACTTCTTCGGAGGACCAGTCTATCGAATAGTAAGCTATCGGTCATGGATGAGCAGTAGGGAGGCTTCATACACGGGCGGCGATCAATCTGAAGTGTTTGACCGCTCATTATACCACCACTTATAATGCAAACCTGAAACTAGGATCCACAACCATTCATCTTTTCACCATCAAGCTCAATTCTCTTCGCCTCCGGATCCAAGTCTTAAACGTAGTAGATACTCCCATTCGCTGGGAGCCTTATTGAAAAAAGACGTGCTTCCAGTTCCACAACTTGGCGGATCAGATGGGTTCGCTGATTATCAGTCATAGAGTACCAAACATCCCCGGCTTCCCGGCCATGCATCTTTTCCATTATTATATACTCCGCACCAACTTCATTATCATGAGAAGTGGAGTAACGGAATACTTTAGGAACAGGGATATCATGCTGTCGCACAAAGTCCATAGTAGCCACTTCACTAGCAGTCGCATACTTTTTCGGGACCGTCGAAGGATATGGCAGACGAACAATCACTTGGAACCCGTCACGCATGCGTATTTCGAAGGTGCGATTGAAGCCGCCCTCAGCAAGCTTCGCTATTTCTAGCACATCTTCCTCCGTGCGGCCAACTGCTTCAGCTGCGACACACTTTAGTTGTGCGATGTTGAATGGAATCCGACGTTCAGCCTGCCGCTGCTCCTCGTTGTAGCTACTCAAAGTCAAGTCTTGCACCGGGGAAAGGAGCTTTGGCTCCACTCACAGCCAACGCCCGGAAGTATAGTTGTAGAGAGTATCCGAATTTATGTTTTCAACTGTCACTGCCTTCTTGGAAATACTGAAACGCCTGACATGGTATAAAGAGATCCGTCTAACAAATGCAGATGATGAACCTAGCTTCATGTTTAGTTAAGTTACCATCTAAAAAATTATAATGTCATGAGCTCATAAAAGCAGCCGCTGTGATTCATGACCTTGCCAGGCTTTATTATTCACAAGATCTCATTTAATGCGGACTTGAAAATAAATTGGTCATTATATACTGTTGTCTGAATGATAAAAGGGTGAGGTTCCGAGCCATGCCAAATTAGGAATGGTTGAAGTTCTCGTCGCTGAACTGAAGCATCAAGTTACAGCCACCAGCATTCGATCAAGCATCCATTCCTCATTCCTAAGCACCTACAGTGTTCTTTACCAAATGGCGCAAGAAGCCGGCCTAATTCCTCCGCCGCCCCATCTCTCAAACCCGCGCTTTACCTTGGAGCTCGAGTTTGTTCTCTCTCTCGCGAATCCGTACTACATCTCTCACCTTGCAGTTTCCTATCCGCATCTCTTGGGCATCTCTTCTCAATCAACGACGGACGCAGAGGGCGACAGCGTATCCGCATCATCAGAAGCTCAAGCCTTTGCCGCATATCTTGCCTATCTCTATGACTATTGGAAGCGACCCGAGTATGTTCAGTTTCTGACACACCCGGGGGCTACATTGAGAGCCTTGCGACTACTGCAGGAGGAATCCTTTCGGACGGCGGTTATCAGGCCACAAGTCATCGAAGCGTTGTTAGGTACGACGGCAGAGGTTGACTTACGTGTCGAGGCGGAGGAGAACAAGGGTGATAGCGATGTACAGCGAGGCACGAAGGGGCCAAATGGCGCCGCTACGTGAAATATCGCGGCCTTCGAACCATCCTCAATGATGCCTTTGATAGCACGCCGGGCGTTCCACTGTCGCGGATGAACATGCGCCTCTCTCTGGAATGTTCTAAACTGTTTGCCGTGTGACGTTGGATTTTCCTCATCGTTGTTTCCTGAGGCCGCCATAGGTCTACGGACTCGAGCGGCATAAGTCGCCCCAGTTGTAGAGCGGAAATTCTGATGACAAGACGGACATTGATCATCCACAAACCTGCGTCTGGCGACGAACCTTGCGACGCGCTGATAATGCGACCTGCCCAACGATTCTCAGGCGCGACCGTTTGTTCCCCCTTCCCAACGCACAGAAGTTACACAGTGCAGTGATACGCATATTACAAAACAGGGAATAGTAAATAGAACCGCCTTTCTTGGTCAGGCCATGGCAAGACTTCAACCGTTCTCTGGCAAACGATAGATAACCGAAGGCAACATCTGCCCGAATCAGAAGCGCATTCCGTGCTCTTTGGAGATATTACACGGCTGACTGGCAGCAATTTCTGTAATTTATTGACTTGGTTAAAAGGGGCTTGTCATCGTTACGTAATCAAATCCGTAATTCCGCGCGATGGCTTTCAGGCAATAAAGGATTAATGTTGGATCTCGAGCTGGGACAAGCAACGCATTAAAGTCTAGCAAACATTACGTGTTGGATTCGGCAATGTTATCGTGTCTTGCAGTTTGCTAGTAGTACTTTGTTCCTGTTGGAAATACATGTTTGGCAGTCCTCATCTCCTCTTCGCGCCTTTCTTTTCCTTGATGACACGACCTCGATAGTACCTCGCAACGTCAGACATCAACCCCGTGAAATCACATCCTCAGGAATCGATCTTCAACGCGAACTTATACGGTTAACTTCAGAAACCATTGGCATTCAGCTTCCAAAGGCACTATTAGTCCTTTGGGGCCTTGCCCCCTTTCCTGCCCTTCCGCTTCGCCTTCTTCCCCTTAAGTCCTGCGGAGGCTGAAGTGTCCAATCTCGCACAGATGAACTCCGTTCGCCAGTCATGTCGACCAAAACATCAAGTCCTGATTTTAAAATGCTATCCTCGGTTCCAAAAGGGTATACAATCCGTCAAGCCCAATTCGTCAGAGCTTAGTTATCTCCTGTACTATGCCAGCACGCGACGGAGCAAGCTTCAAAAGGTCGGTGCTTTCCTTGAGAAAAGAGCAGCTAGGGATGTGTGGAGGGGTAAGACTGGGTAAGTTGATGCGTATCCATTCCTGGTGTACTGGAAGGTGCCTCCATATTAATTTTCCACCGGGCTAGAAATGTTCAGGTTACCCTCCAGATCCTTGCCGCGCTCATCGAGAAAGTACCACGCGATTTACCTCTATATGCGAAATCCGTTCTCACAGTGCTTGATATCGTCCTCCGCTCGCGCGAGGTAAGCATGGTGGAAGAGACAATTCCAACTTTCGAACTATTTTGTCGCCATCAGGACAGCGCAACTCTAACTGCGGATCACGAATACATTATACAATACCGGGATATTGTAGGCACCTACGCGAGCTTCGCATCCACCGAGACACCACCTGCTTCTAAAATTCCCATGAGTGCGCCAACGGCTTTGCGGTGGAGAACCGTTGGTTTAAAAGCCATCAAGAACATTGTAACCTCAGAAATCCTCTCAACAGACGGTGCCAAACAGCTAAATGTTGTGGTTCCAGTGACTCTTCAGAATCTGTATGCTGGAGGTGATCCGGGCCTGTCGCCTTTGCAGGAAAAGGCAAAAAGCTCAGAGCGGATGGAACGGGAGCAGTTGCGCCGACGTCGCATGAGCATCTCCACGGTACAAACTGTGGATACCGTCGATGGAAACGGTGATCCTGAATCTGCTTCTAGCTCTGCGGCGGATGCGGATAAAATGGCCGAAGTAGAAGCGCGCGTCCTAGCACTGCGGTGTCTAGAAAAGGTGTTTTCTGGAACAAACAGGGTGCAAATACGATTTGCGACATCGCTGGTTTTGAGCTTCATCGTCAGCAGGCGTCCACCACGAGACCAAGGAGACGGACGAAATCTTAATCAGAAGACCGATGGAAACTGGGCTACAAACTTACTGGATGTTATCACGAACTGGACTCCCGTACAAGATCGTTTCATTATCCTTGTGACCCTTTTGGAGACCTTGATGGATCGCCCGCTTGTCGATGGACACCTTGAACCACAGCTTACCCTCGCATCCATGATGAATTGGCTGTTGGGCTCGTCTATCAATCTAATTGGTCTCAGTGTAATGGATGTCTTGATGGGTTTACTTCAACTCACTCGCCAACTTCTACACCTCGGAGATGGCACCCATAAACTGATTATACCTCGTGATCCGTCTGCATTTGTCAAGCCACTACCGCATATAGACGAAGGCGGAGCGGGTTCACCGATAAACGGAAATAATGAAAAGTTTCCTACGGCAGAGCCTATGCGGCATGAACTGCTAGAGCTGCTTGAAAAGTGCATTGGCAACTTGGCGACTCATATCTACTATGGGGATCAGGTTTCGGATATGATCCGAGCAATTGTCACACGAATCAAACCGTCTCCCTACCCACAAAGTGAAAATACCCACCAAGAGTCTGACTCGGACAATGTGGCACCCAAACCAAGCCCTCCTCGCTCCGTTCATACTACTGAAATTTATTTTTCATCTCCTGCGGCGCGAGTTGCGGCGTTGAAGTCTATTAAGGATATCTTAGTGGTAGCCAATTTGCGCAAATCCATCCCCGGAACTGGCCCTGATTCAAGGAGCCGCGTCTCTTTACAGGTGTGGGAAGGCACGCATTGGCTGCTCGGTGATCCTAAAAGGGAGGTCCGCATTGCCTATGTTGATGTGTTACTTACTTGGCTTCAGCTGGAGACGACCAAGGTCGACCTGAGAGTACCTGCTGAGTATAACAAAGCGTCAAAGATCGGCGCCAAAAGGGATGTATCTGACGTCCCAGAAAAACTCACAAGAAGGATCGTATCCAGTGCTCCTCAACGAGAAACCGGGCCAGTTAGTCATGCGTCAGGCTTCTTACAGCTCCTTCATCTGACCATCTTCGATATTGCAATGGAGCCATCCACTACCGAATCAGACGTCTCGATCCTTCATTTACTGCTCGTCAACATGGTGGAACATATGGGAGTGAACGCTGCCAGATTCACGTTGCCGGTGCTGATGAAGCTCCAGGCTATGGCTCTGTCCACTATTCCTATGTCGGCTACCAAGTTGCTCCAGGTCAGCAGCCTAGTCCACGGCTTCCTTTTAGCGTTGGTAGAGAAGTTCGACTTGGAGGGAACTAAAGTAGGAAATGACATTATCAACGAAGTTACCAGGAGGAAAAAACGCGGCATTTGGCTTGACAAAATCCAGGTACCGCCACGACCACTTGATTCCATTCAGCCTACTCTAGACACAAAAGTCGACCAAGTCTCCCTACCCCAGCCAGAGCAGTCCGCGTATTCTCCGTTTTCATTGCTGGAGGAACTTGTTGGGCAAATTGAAACCTCCTACAATTCGTCTTATTTATCTCCACCAGCCAGTCCTTCTAGTTCTCCAGGACGATCATTTTCGATACCATCTATAGGGCATAATAGTTCAACTCAAGCGAAAATGCCTGCGAGCTCGCAGTTACCATTGCATGTCAAAGAGTTAATGTTAGCTCCATGGTCAAAGGAAGCCTGCCTAGCCGCTATTGAGAAGGAGAAAGCTCAAACATCCTCTCTTAGTGGTTCTCGAACAGCAACTGGCGCCTTTTCCGCTGGTCGCAATGCCCACAACATGGGAGCACCCAACCACGGGCCCGGTTCACCCACGGATACCGCACGGTCCGCGTGGAACCGACATGATTATCCCGTTTCCACTACGGGCTCTCCAGTTGGTGGTCTAAATGCGATTCAAAAAACTCGGCGTCAAAGTATCCCCGAGAGCCGCGTATCTCCTCCGACATCCAGTCGTGACTCAACAGTACGAGTTAACGACCTGCGACGAGTACTTTCCGTTGTCAATAATAAAAATTCGCGCCAGCCGAGTCCTCTACGCGGTCGTCAAAGGGTAGATAGCACAGCGTCTAGCACTGAAAGTATGGTCAGTGATAATTTGTCTATTTCCGACGCTGGCACCGCTGCTATTGATAGACCACTGTCCTCCCGTGGAAATCTTGGAACCCCTCGAGGTTCCAATCTACAACTCAGCGGTAACAAGGCATCCGGCCAATCTCAAAAAGATTTCGAAAGGGAGGATATCCCTCCTGTTCCCCCCCTACCATCTTCCCTAGCCATACCCGGCGGTTTTCCATCAGATTCCCGCAGTGCATCCTCCGTTACTTCGCCGTCCCACTCACCTATTCGCTCCGACAGGCCTTCAACTGCACCAGGGCGCCCAGTGCGAACACCTTCCAAGAGCCAAGGTAGTAATGCGTCTACTATACGCCCAAGCAGGTCGTTAAGTAGGAAAAAGTCTCTGAACGGGAGCCTACATGAAGAAAAGGTTTCAGCCATCAATGGAATTCCCAATGCACCTGAATACAGCGTAGATTTGGGTGATATTGGCATTGCTATCACCGCTGACACAAGCGAAACGGCTCATCAGGCCGCGGATCGAGGCGATACAAGTAACCAATGGTCAAGGCGCGAAGCCTCGCGGACATTGAGCTTCGGTCGACGAGCGGATGTGGACAAGCTACTAGCAGGCCTTGCTATTCGAAACGATCATCGACAGAACGGCACTGACGAGGTCAAAGGAGTAGAGGTCACTTTGAATGGTGTGGAAGGGAGCACCAGCTCGACAAAAACGAGGAAGAATCCATACTTCGGGTTCACAAACGATGAGCATAAGGCGCCTCAGCCTCGAAAGAGCGGATTGCTGGTACCGGGTTCGGCTCCTTGGAATCGCTCAGCAAGCGATTCTCGAGGAGGTATTGGGCCACCTCCTTATTAAACCTCTTTTCTTGACTTGAGTATGGACCGAGCGTTTTTTCTATATCCCCTCCGGTCCGCGTCTTTTTAATCATCAATGCATCTGTTTGTCAAAGACAATTTTCCTCTTTTTTTATTTGATATCTGATATCGTCCATCAGGCAGGGGATCTTAATATTTTCCTTCTTGACATTTCAGCGACGTTGCGTATCTTATTATGTCTTCCTGGTGATCATACCTCATTTTGTTTTTATTTTTTTTATCATCTGCATACATCGCTGGATCATGTTGCAATTTAACACAGTACCCTTATTTCCCTTTGTCGTTTTTCCCTCCTACTATGGAAATTATTGCAAAAACCATCAGGTGTGTGGCTGTTATTTCCGTGTCATGCAAGCAAAATCCGGGCATGAAGGCACCTTTTCATTTTCTATTTCTATCAGGCAGTATGGAGATAGGAGAACAGCACGTCATAGTCTACACTATGGGAGTGGCAGTTTGTCCTGTTTATCCTGATACTCTGGATATGCTAAGCAAGAATTCCAACAGATTACAGAACAATATATGATTGCTTAATGGAAATAAGAATCATTAGCTGTGCTACCAGGGACTTGGAAGCATCGCCTACCAGTTGATTCTACGGCGATAGGCCTTCCCTAGAGGTCCCTAAACATATAATATCCAGAAAAATATTAAAAAATGGGTAGAAATTAGAACAACTCTTCTCCTGAATTTCGTCGTCGGAGTTGCGAAACACCCACCGTACGTAGTTTTCATTATCCAATCTTGAATGGTTCGTGAATGGGAACCATTACTGGCCATTAAGTCTTCTTGCATGAGGAATAGAACTCCATGGCTACGTGTGGATAGGCCTCATTTCCCTTCTTTTTCCATTGCCAATATCAGTTGTATATGCATACAAGCCATGAAACGCACAGAAGGCCAGAGATAGAAGTTTTTAAACAACCCCTAGGCCCTTGATTTGGAAAACCATGGAAACAGAAAAAGCCAAGTCATGTCCTTCAATGAAGGAAGGAGTTAGATGACAGTATGAACGTCAAGTGCGGTTTTCGGCCCACAGAGACATATGTGAGGCACAAACGAGCAATATCTTCCCCGGCTCAACGATGAAGGGGATGTAGGCGTCGAACGAATTGACTGGGCCCGCTTGATTAGCGCGTGAGCGGTTAAGAATCCAGTACACGTCAACCAGGTAGAAAAGTATGGGGACGGGTGTCCCGCCTTGTGTTTCAATTGTCACAGTTCGGTTCTCATGTGGGTGATGTCTGCCATCACAGGAGCGGAGGAAGCAGCGGCGAGATCGGAGCCCTTGTTATGGACGATCCTACAAAGTACCAATCGCTTTGTACAGGACTGCCCACAGAGGCACCATAAATTGTCAGTCGGATTCAAGCAGGAGAAGCCCAGCTAGACGGATTTGCTATCGCCTGCTTGACTTGGGGGTCGCCGGAAAATGCGCCTGGACTCAACACAATGTTAGCTATCGGATGGGCTGCGAGTAGGGATAGGGTTGACTACTCACGAAACCGTTTATTAGATATAGTTAGTGATAGTAGGAAAGCACACTGTACTTGGCGAATGGGCATACCTATATGAAGGGCGTCTTGCGTTTAACACCCACGCCGCAACGCATTCGCATGCCACCGGTAGCTAGGCCATGGAGATGCGTTGTCGAGTTTGAAGTAGTCTGGAAATTCAAAAAGATTGCAGGAAATTCCCATGGCATCTTTCGTCAATTGACGGCAATTTAGCCATTTCCTTGAGTCTGTTTCTGGTCGCGTGGATGGCTTGGTGAACGGGAAGCTCTCGCAGGAAAAAAAAAAGAGCTTTGTAACGCGCCAGCTGTCCGGCATTCGCAGCAACTCCGTCCATCCACGTCCCAACGCGTCTGAGGAGCTCAAGGTAAATATATAATTCTAAATAACTCCGGAAGCTGGAATCAGCTTCATCTCAGCTTCTCTTCAATGACACGGTGATGTTACGCTGCCTATCACGCCCACCAAAGTTCGAGCGCGTCCTCCGCAATCCCCTCGTCTCCAGCGCTCTCTCCAGCTCTCCTCTTGTCGCTGTGCTGACCGGTGATTGCCAATAAATCAGTTGCCTTTGGCTTCCTTTCACTGTCTCTTTCACCGAGATAACTACAGTTCTCCCTTTACGCCTAGATCTATCCTCCCCTCCCACAAAGCTCCTCCCCGCGATCACAGAGTGCTCCGCCATGGCCCTCACTTTTCACAGTAAAGACGAACCAAACTGACCCTGATTCGTAACCTACACGCTCCTCCAATCACCTCTATCTTCGCGCTCTTATAATGTCGAATTCGAACGTTGTTCCGGCGGCGGAGCACACCCCCAGCCTGAATACGCCGACTGTGACGGAAGCTGGCCCTGACAGCAACGAAAGCGAAATTATGATGGACATTGACCCAAAATCGAGCGCGGATCCTGGGGCTACCGATGCGCTCATGCCGACGAATTCTCTCTTAGCCTCCAACCAGCAAGCCGGACTACGAGTCGGTTCGTGCGAAGCCAATCCAAATATTCTGCAGAATGGGCACCAGGCCGACCACGATAGCCCCCTACTGATTTCGTGCCAGACACGTCCCACATTCGCTCTACTGAACCAGCGTCTCTAGAATACTGGGAGAATATTCTTTCCAAGTGTGTTCCTGAAACCCGATTCAACACACCAGCTCCGGGTACGAGGGACACCTTCGTGCTGGGCAGGGTGATCATCAAATGCGACCATCACAATCCCGAGCCAACAGGAGATTACAGATTCTGGGATGAAAATGAGGAGGCTGCTGTAGTATTGGCTTCAGAGGCTCTCCCGGACATTATACTGCCAGAATATTATCTGAGAACGAAAATACGGGGACGAGATATACTAGTACGATCATATATTCCCGGAGTTCCCCTTGGAGCTGTTTGGTCATCCCTCAGTGTGGAGCAAAAGGCCAGCTTCAAGGCCCAGGTGCGAGACATTGCACGGAGACTTTATCGGATCAAGCCTAGCAGCTCGACACCTTCGTATGTTGCGCAGTCCAACTCCCCAGAGGGAGATACCAATCTCTGCCGGGATGGGCATGATATTTTGTTTGGGAATACTTCGACTGAGAGTGGCGATCTTGGTTTGTCGCACAATGATCTGATGCCCTCGAATATCATCGTCAACAATGACAAAGTTGTTGGGATAGTCGGCTGGTCGAACGCTGGCTACTTCAACTATGGAGCTATTGGGCAAGTCCACCGGACAGTTAGGTGCAAGAACGATAACGAAAGCACAATCGATGGATCGTGGCAAGAGAGCATATCCTGGCACGATCTTTACGATGCCGCAAACGAGGAAAGAGGAGTCGTCCATGATTCAGTTGACGCTGAATCTAAAAGTATCAATCCAAGCGTCAAGTCAGAAGAATCGATTCCCACCCTCAACACCGTTCCCTCCATGGCAACAAACGAGACGTTTGACTTCCCAACACCTAAAAAGATCTTTGATTTGAAGCAAGAGTCTGTTTCAAGAGCTTCATCCTCCGAAAGGTCTTCCCCCGCACCGTCCGTCAAAGTCACAAAGAAGCGTGCCGGCCCACCTGTCGGCACGAAAAAGGGACAGGCCGTACGAAAACCAGCCGTCAAAAAGCGTAAACTGAACGGCATGGAGAGCGTTGATGACACTGCAGGATCTCAACGAAGCTCGGCGACACCAGCACCTGCTCGAGCAAAAACTGCAAAACAGCGGAACCGTAAGCAGCCTTCTGCATCAACGGCCGGTTCGCCACCCCCGGACACTAAAAACCGAGGAAGACCACACGAACTGGATGAAGACGCGGAAGGTGAAGATGACGATGATGACTCGGAATTGTTTTGTATTTGCCGCAGACCTGACAATCACACGTGGATGATTGCTTGCGATGGCGGCTGCGAAGACTGGTTTCACGGAAAATGTGTCAATATGAAGCAAGCGGATGCCGACCTTATTGACAAGTACATATGTGAGCAAATCCTGCGCCTAAAGTGACAAATTTATCTGATAGCTGATTTCAATTTTTGTAGGCCCGAATTGCCAGGAGAAACAGGGTGTCCGCACAACTTGGAAACGGATGTGCCGACTCCCTGGCTGTCGCCGACCTGCTCGAGTCACCGCGAAGACTCCGAGCAAGTACTGCTCTGATGACCATGGTGTCGAGTTTATGAAGAGGAAGATTCAAATCGCAGCTCGTCGGTCCGCAGCCGCCGCTGGCCTCGGGGGTGGATTAGATGCAGAAAATAAAGCGAACGGTAATGCAGGCGACAATGGAAACAGTGAGGTGCTGAACAATTCCGGCACTCACCAGGAAGGGACGCAGGATTTAATCAACAGGGGAGGTGTCCTGACTCCTCGAGAAGTGAAAGCCATCGCAGACGGGGTCCAATCCGCGGAGGAATTCCGGAAGCTTGGCGAAAGTCTCTTATCGAGCGATTCTCAAGGACTTACATTACTTCGCGAGGTAGCTGAATCGTTCAACTCAAAAAGCGAAGTACCCGCTAAAGAAATTGATTTCGACATTCTACCTGATACTGTTGAGTGGACATCAGAAGAGCGGAGGCAGATGGATATCCTCAAGGCACAGAGAAAAGAACTTCTCCATCGTTCTCAGATGCTCCGCGACCGAGATAAGTTTTTAGTTCTAGTCCGCCAACGCGCCAAAAGCATTCTCGAACAACTGCGACAAAACGATCCCAAGGGATGGAAAGATGTCTGTGGTTTTGACACTCGATTATCTTGGTCAGATGATGAATTTGATGAGTGGAGACAAACGGAATCTGGCAAGAAGACGCTGCAAGATGGCATTCTTGAAGCCAAACCGCCGGCAGATGGCGAAGGGGATACAGAAATGATTGACGCAGATAAAGCGAGTGAAGTTAACAGCATCGCGCAGGGAGTGTGTATAAAGAAGCGCTGTGAACAGCACAAACAGTGGGGCAAGGTTCAGCAGCAAGATATTCTCTTCGAGCAATCGATAGTCAAGGACCAATTGGCAAAGTGTGAGAAAACGGCCACACAAGTTATCGACGGCGTTGTTTTGAGGGCGTACGGAAATCAAGATATGGCTATGGGTGGTACGGCTTAGCATTAAACAGCGTGCATCACAGTTGTATGTATCTCCATACATACGTTCTTGCTTGGGCCTTGATTACTTTCCTGTACGGGTTGCTAGCGGGTCCTGGTAGATTCCAGTGCATGACAAGATATGTCAGCCTGTATTTCTTCTAATTCCCCTTCGGCATTGTATGATTATTTGCAGCATTATTTTTAATTTGGTAGTCGGTTACGGTGCAAAGCATGGTATTCTTAAGTTGAACCTGGCATCAATAGACGGGGGTGGGATGGAGTCTGGGATCCATGTGGGAATAATATCGTCCATTTGTTTTCGAAGTCATACGCCTTGTAACGCCTTTAAGCGAATTAATAGCAGTATAGAACGACCTCATCCGAGCATACTACTCATGAACTTATGCTTTATGTTTAAAAGGACGTTTGAAGAGCCTATAAAGCACACCATCTACCCAAGGCGTTGCCCACGCGGTCCTTGGCCACTTCGATGATCATGCTAGTTTCCTTCTTGGAAACAAGAAGATGGGTATCGAAACCTTGATCGAATGAACGGGCTAGTGAGGATGGGTAGTGCGGAATTGCATGCTGAGAAGTTGGTTTGGTGGCTGAAGACGAATACACCTGGCTCTGCCCCTGGGTCGGTGCTAATTCCGGATACGCTTGAGGGCGCGGTAGTGGCGCGGGCGAAAAGATTGAACAGACTGGTTGATAGTGATTTTGACGGTGAAAGTGTTGGGACTGAGGCGGTATATCTGACTGTTCAAAGGTATGCTCCGCGCCGCTTTGTTCTGGTAGAACACTTGCAGTTGAGGATGGAAGGAGGATTGTATTCACTACGATGACAGTGAGGTGCGTGGCGTGTGTTCGAGAGAGAACAGTCAAAGTGCGGAGCAGCGGCACAAGTCTCGCCTGTGTGGCTAAGGTGCTGGAGGTACGCTGGATCTCTGCGACGGATTGATCTAGGTCTTCTAAAAGGAGCAGTGAGCGCGCACGGGAGGTTTGTTGCTGTTGTGTGGTGTACAAGGTGTTTGAAATTTGAGATATAGCGTCAACGATCTCATCGAAATTGAAGGCACGGAAGATCTTGACGCTGTTGAGTATAGCCTGAGATAGGTTCATTGAGTGCTCTGGAAGCTTCTGCTGGATTGATCCGAGAAGATACTCTCGAGTAAAAGTGCGCGAGCCGTAAAATTGAATAATAAAAGCCTGTGGCAGGAGCTCAGATATTGTATCAGAATCAGGTCGTGAAGGTGGTAAATGTGGCCGTGTCAAAAGAGAGAGGATCAGATGCGTGGAGAGCTAGTATTCAGATATCAGTTTCGCTGGTCAACTTGTACAGGTATTCAACTAGAATCTACCACGCTTACATCAAGCACCCAGCTTCGTACGACTCCCGAATCCTTATCTTTCTGTTCACGAGGCTCTACACTTCCGGGTTGCAACCCGGATATGCCCACCACTCGACCAGGACCAAACACTGATCTCTCGGCACTTGTGAGCGAGATGCCCTTGTCAATATCGCACTGCAAATCCCAGTTACACTCAGGAGCCGGTCTTTGGGCTTCGTTTCCCGTCTCCGCTGGGCACGGTGGGAGAAGTGCGGACGCAAGGATAGCTGGAGCGGGACCGGGGAATGAGCCGCTGGTCGCCATCTGTGTGCCGCTAAATGAGCACTGGAGCACTAGAGCACCAGTGGCGGCCCGGAAGTGAACAGTTCTTTCCACTGAGTCTGGAAAAGAGCGCGGGTATTCAGTGATGGTGCACGTAGGTCAGATCCGATCCATCAAGTTAGAGAAGCATCTAGTATCGGAATGGGTTTTCGATTACAAATATTTATAGAACGCCTGAAACAGCTTGTAGAGATCAATTCAATGATTTACAGGTCTTTCTAGATTATGCAACAGGACTGGTTATATCAGAGTAGTATGGGAAAAGAATGATCCTAGCAGAGAGAATATACCGCATAGAATTGCTGATATGAACCTCTTATTAGTACAATTAACACAAACCTCCGCGATGAACAAGTGGACGTTATCGACAGGATAACCAAATCAAGTCTCACAGTAAGAATAGAAGCAAATAGGACGGAGAATTGATAACAATTAAGTCAGTCAGATAAAGGCCTTCTCTGTTCTTAGTGATGCATTGAAGGCAGGTAGTCGAAATGCTTACGTCCCAGGGGCAGAAGCAAGGGATCTTGATTGAGCTGGTCATGATGATCCACTATCTAACTGATAGATGGTTATTAACTAACTCATAAAAGCCCCGAGGAGCGCCACACCAGTCACCCTGCAATGTGCGTCCCTTGCTCCTGGGAATGTTACCCAGGGCATAGGTACTCCGTAATTGAAGCTCCTAACCAAGAAGATCTCCAGGTATTTATAGCGAGTTGAAGTTGACCATGGCTACCTCGATTAGTAGCTGTCCTTCTTTCACTTGAGCGAATATCCTCCCCGGCACCACACTGCTCTTTGATTGCCCCCTTGTCGTCTCTTCACATTCCACTGCAGATGCAGTATTGCAGGGGTTCGCATTCCAACCTCGAGACCCCTGGACGACAGCACTGCACGTGCGCACAGGAAGCAGGACCTGGGCCCGTCACCCCGTGGCACCCGCCCGCCAGCCTTATTACCCCAACGACGTCGTGCGAGAGTCCGCGATCGAAGATTGAACTGGAGTGCAAGCTGGCAGACCACAGCGGTCGCACGGAGTCCGGAGTATCCTTTTCCCCCCTCGGAGTTGTATCACGTGGCACAGCACACGGCTTATATAATTTGACGGGCAAAGCTTGTCTCGGGCTGGACCAATAGGAAATGCGGAGCTTGGGCCCAATGATGTAATGCGTCAGCCAATCAACGTGCGAAGTGCTCTCCGAATGGGGCTGGTGGCGACAAAGTGTGGCGTCGATGGATTATTAATCGTGTTGACTGTCGTCCATCGGGTAGGCCCAGTGCGATTTAGCGGGGTGAGGCCGGCCTGGCATACCGTTCTCGCCCAGTAAAGGAGCACCAGAAGTCTGGCGGTGGAGAGTAAATCAAGAGAGGAGGAGGACCGGGATTTGATAAAGGGCGTAGCCTTGAAATTTGTTGTAATTAATCAAGCGCACTGGCAGGGATAAGGCTGTTAATCGCATTCGGACTTAAGGGCTAGCACAACGAGTGATAGCGCCAACTGGTCTGGCTGAAGGGAGATCGTCTTCTTCTCGTCGTATCCGTTGTCTCCTCAGAGGACCGTGAGTCAAGTGAGCGCACGCCCTGCCATTGTCCCAAATCGCCGTGGTCATCTTCTGTTTTCTTTCATTCAGGCACGGATTGACGAGTCTGCGATCTATGGTTCCGACGTAGCCAACTCGGAATTCCCTACCAATCTCATTTCCCACACATTCCGACCGTCAGCCACATTGCTGCCATTCATCTCGTTCCTGGGAAACCGTCCCAAGTTCCCCTCAACCTGGATGGCAGGTCAAAGCTGAGAATCGAAAAAAGGAGCTGTGGGGGATTGAACCTCTGACATATCCTGGTAGGCTAGTGCCCACCCATTCCATTGCTTTTTTGCCCTTTGGCCTATATAGCCCCGCTGGTAGCATATCTAAGGCAAACCCAAATCCAAAAAGATTTCATCACCAGCCGCTTATTGATCTGTAATCGGATTTCACGCAGATAGACGCATCGGCAGCTTCGAGGAAATCCACTAGGAAACGGAATTGTGCGGCCAAAACTTCACTCGAAGCGTTGTCCTGGCTTGGATATGTCCTATCCCGACAGTGGTTCAAGCACTGACGACGACGATAACGCCCGCAAGCTCCGACTCCTTTTTTACTCAATCGCTCCGATGAGCTCGACTCAGTCTCCCCACCATGGTTCCGCAAGATAACACAACCGCGCCAGCTGCGTGCAAGCCAGAAGACAATAACGGGCAGTCCGCGATCGCGGAATCCAAGGTCCGGGATGATAGTGGCCCTGTGCCGTCAAGTCAACCTCCAGAATCCGCCGATGGCGGCCAAGCTGCGGATGGAGATCAAGCAAAACTGGCCATACCCGTGCAAAAACGAAGACGAGTCACCAGAGCTTGCGATGAATGCAGGCGGAAAAAGATCAAATGCGACGGCAAACAGCCCTGCACGCATTGTACCGTCTATAGTTATGGTATGTTATCTGTCTGACTTTTGCTCTGTCTCCGTTTTACGTTGCTAATGATGTTTTTCTTCTTCCAGCATGCACATATGATCAGCCGTCAAATCGACGCAGAAACCCTGCGCCGCAGTATATAGAAGCCTTGGAAGCTCGTCTACAAAAGGCAGAAACCCTTCTACGTGCCATTCTCCCAAACGTCGACTTAGATGACCCGTCGTTTGATTCCAGCAATGTGGAGGAGCTTATTTCGACTGCCAGAAAGGCACAGCCAGATTCCAAACCGAAACCGGACCCCGAAACACACGAGCTTCCCTCGTCCTCCGAACAATGCGACGAGTCACTTCTAGAGTCGATGGTAGAGAATACCGGTGCTCTGGATCTCGACGACCAAGGCCATTGGGATTACCATGGCCAGTCCTCCGGTCTGATGTTTGTCCGCCATTTACGAAAGCAATTTGGGAACCTTGTTCCTGAGCGTGCCCCGTCCAAATTTCAACAGATTTCACAGATCTTGGAATCAGCCAAGTCTTCTTCAGAATCGCCAATCGACACATATATGTCCTTGGCCCACGATCTACCGCCACGAGATATTGCCCGCAAACTATGCGACAATGCCCTTGAGGACGCGTGCATTGTGTTACGATTCATGCACAAACCCACGTTTAACGCTATGTTCAACCGAGTTTATGACATCCCTGCAGAGCAATACACAAACAAAGAGAATGCTTTTCTGCCTTTGTTATATCTTACGCTCGCCGTCGGTTGTTTATTCCGAGGTGTGGGAGATAGCACCCTTGACAAATCGGGATATGAGCCTGCGGTGGACCAAGGGTAAGCACATCAGATTTGGAAATCAAACGGGGGGTTTACTAACATCAAACCAGTTTTCAATACTTTAAAGCGGGCCGACTGCTACTCGACATAACCGAATGCCGTGACCTTACGTCCCTTCAAGCAATTTGCTTTATGATTATATTCCTCCAAGCGTCAGCCAACGTCAGCACTTGCTATTCATATATAGGAATTGCTCTTCGGGCTTCGCTTCGTTTAGGTCTTCATCGTTCAGTGTCGGCTAATTTCAACCCTGTGGAATTGGAAACACGCAAGCGCGTTTTCTGGGTTGTACGGAGTATGGATATTCATGTCAGCGCAATTTTGGGCCTCCCATGGATGCTAAGTGAGGACGACATCGATCAAGAACCGCCTCTTGGAATTGAAGATGAATATATAACTCCGGATGGCATATTACCTGTGCCCCCAGGTGCTGTCTCTCTGATGGAGGGAGCAAATGGGCACATACGACTGGTTCAGATACTACTAAAAGTCACGAAATATATATACCCTGTGAAGGCTGCGAACCTCGGACCAGGGCACACCTATATGGTCAGCCATTCGAAAATAAGGGAAATTGAGCGGGATCTTCAAAATTGGAAGGAGGAGCTTCCAGAGGCCCTGAAACCTGGGGGTGAAGCATCTCCTCAGCTCGACAGGTTTGTGATTTGTTTTCTTTTGTTGCCAATTTAGGTACGCGGCTCACATGTTTTAGGCTGAGGCAATTATTGCGCATCAGTTATGCGCATGTGCAGATGGCAATGTATCGGCCATTTCTACATTACGTTAGCGCAGGGTCCCAAGGTCGTGGAATCGATAAGCGCTCGTACGCCTGTGCTGCTGCCTGTGTGAGCGTTGCTAGAAACGTCGTTCATATCACTGCTGAAATGAAGAAAAAACAACTTTTGAATGGTTCTTACTGGTTTACGATGTATACGACCTACTTTGCTATCTTATCTTTGCTCTTTTTTATTCTCGAGAACCCCGAATCTGCCAGTGCCAAGGATGGTATATTGAAAGATGCACTCGAAGGCAAGAATACATTGGCTGGCCTCGCAAAACGAAGTATGGCTGCAGACAGGTGCACACAGAGCCTCAATGTTAGTACCTTGCCCCGACCGTTTGTCTGGTCAAAGATACCTGAGCTAACATAACAATCTAGGCCATTTTCAAGCATTTGCCCGAGAGGCTACGAAATCGGCGTGGAAACGCACCGGTACCGGTCAATCGAAAGAGACCACAGCCAACCACTTCGATGCCAACGCCTACGGCGAAGTTGACTGGAACTCTTACGCCGCCGGGCCCGCTAAAAGATGCGGATGGTCTACCGCCTAATCCGGTGAGAAGATCTAATACGTTTCCGATGCAAATCGCAGGAAATGCTCTCAAACAGTCGCAACAAACCGCAGCAAGCAACAACATTATCGGCGAAAACCAAACTGCTCCTGCTCGAGTTTTTAATCAATCCCCTCTCATGGTTCCGCCAACTGCATCTACAGCGCCATCCACATCGGATAGAGACGCTTCACAGATATCTACACCATCCTCTCCATTGTCTGCCTCCCACCACCCACAAACCATGAAACAGCCAATTTCGTTTTCTCCTCCGTTTGACAACGCGAGTCACCTCCCAGATTTAATGCCAATGATGTTTCCTTCCGATGACCCATTCGCGTACCCCAACCAGCCGATGTCTCTCTTGGAAGATGGCCAATTCAAACAGGATTCTACAGACATATCCAGACAATTCCCTTATCGACCGAATCACCCCATACAAGCAGCTCTCGACGCTGGAACCCCGACCCGAACCACCGCTTCCTCGCCAGCAGGCTTTGTCAATGCCGCTACTTTCTCCGGATTTTCCAACCAGGATATGAGTACTATGCCCGGCCTGCCCTCTCATCCAAAAGGTCCAAACAGGTTCCCAGCACGTCACGAGCGAAGACCTTCAGAGCCAATGCCCGAGTCAGCGAGCACGGGGTACATTGAAAACCCGGACCTCGTCACCATGCCTGGGCAAGCTTTCTTATGGCAGAATCTAGGAGTCCAGGGCCCAGGCGGCAATATCTTCCCACAGTCGACAGCTGAGGAAGCGTTTCACGATGGTATCGGCGATTTTAACATCCCAATGGACATTGGGATGGTAGGCCTTGGCACGTTAGGCATGGGACTTGATACGACGATGGGATATGACCATCAGTTCGACGGTACGGGGATGGACAGCGCGTCTACTCTGAATCCTGAATGGAGTCAGTGGAGTAGTTGGAACAGGGGCACGGAGGGAGAAAGTTGAGAGAATGCAAAATATTACGACCTGTACTTCATTGCCGAGTCGAAATCGGCTTTGCAACGGACGCTGATGGGAGTGTGAGTGGAACCTCCAATCTCGTGTACTACTGATTTCTGCTTGACAGAATTGAACAACATACTTTGGCCTTTGCAGTGAATTTGGGGAAATTGAAAGCGTGTTTCTTTCAGCACCAAAGAATACAGTGTCTGATAGCTTTGCGTGGGAAAAACAATCCTTCTCGTGTGCTGGGGCGTGTTCTTTCTGGCGGCTTGTGTATATTTCCTTATCTCTTATGTCGATTTGAAAGAAATCTCTCAGCGGTTACTTTGATATTGGGCTAATTTTTTACCTATTGGGAGATGAATTTGTGGCGAGTATATACGGAATTAGTGAAAGAGTGAACGCTAAATTTACATCATTAAATAGGGATTTGGGGATAAATATTCTAGAACAAGTGCTTTAGGCCATAGTTTTCCGTTTAAAAATGTTTGCATAGATTTGATAGGGCTCCAACCGGTTGTCTGCACCGGACTCAGCCACGACTGCCATGAAGCAGTCTTTCGACAGTATCCATTCCGCTTGTTCTGCTCAATCCACACTTCTTCAGTGTCGTGGCTTACCGCCATTTACTACCCCAGGCGTGATAAACCTGACGCGCGGAAGATAGGTAGGACGAGCAGAACTGGATGTATAGATATGCCTTCCTTGGAAGTCCAGGAAGGTGAGGTCGACTGCATAGGAACCCCTCAACTTCCCCTGGGGGTCCGGGATTCCATAGATCCTGCGTTGTTAATTCTGTGGAGTCGATTCAGGCGTGTAGTTTTATACTACACAGACCCATAGATAAACCTGGGGTAGAACCAAACATGCATGGGATCTGCAAAGGATATCAATAATCAAAAAAAAAAAAAAAGCATAACATGTCTTTCCTATGGGGCCTTGCTACGTTAACACGTCGCTCCTCCATCTGACAATGCCATCTCTTAAGATAACAGGCTGAGGAAGTGCTTATCTGATATCCCGCATCATGTGACGGCGGTTCCCGGAGCTATAAATGGCCGGTATCATAAATGCCTCAAAAACGAACCGAGACCAATCGAATACCACTGTAAACAAGCTCTGAAATAATAAGAATGGGACCACCCAAACAAAACCTGAGACGCGGAGATCATGGGCCACCCAAACTGGCTCATTTCAAATTGTTTTGAAAAGGCGATTTTTTTGATATTTTGTTTGAGATTTCAACTCATTAGATGCGGGATAACTGGTCGTTGTTGCGCTTGGCAGCGGAAGGGAGGACTTTCAAATGTGTGATAAATGACGCGATTTTCTCCAGCAAAAAGGCTTGTCACGACTCGCAGGCTGCGTATCCCGTACCGCGTATTGAATTTTACGGCTTCTGCATTGGGGTGTGGCTGTGCCCCCAGGATTCTCGGCATCTGCTTGGCTGGACTTGGCTGTCGGGGCTGGCTTGGCTTGCTTGGCCTGGGTCTTGGCCACCCGTAAACCTTGGCAATGGGCGGCAAGTCTTGGGATCTCGGGAGTTGTGGGCGAGTTGTTACGAGGGGGGGAGAGAGAAGAATCATGGAAGCGAAGCGGTGGACGAGGAGCCTCGCAGAGAGTGACACGGGGTGTTTTTGAGTTTCTCAGACTTTGATCCATGCGCTTTCATACGACGTGAATCTGCAGCAGGGTGGGCTGTTTAAACTCTGCCCGTGATTGCTGTTGAATTATTAGCATCTGGGGGAGGACTCGGAAGCGACTGAGCGGGCGTAGTTTTAAGTGTAGAAAGATGCGTGCTGGCGTGGCCTGTATCACCACCGAATAAAGTGGTCTAATAATCACCGTACAACCGTCTTTCTTCAGGCCAGTTTGGGGGGATATTCCCACCCAATTCACAGTGAAACTAACACTCCAGCAGCGTACCCGCAACTCAACCAGGCCAGACCCCGAACGCTGTGGCGTCCACTTGCCCCTTCTAGCCGGCAGTGGTAATCTCTGGCCACCTGTCCCCCTCTCCCCCCTCCTTCATCCTCTCGTCCTGCGCATTTCTTGGCCTGAATTTCCGGTCTTGTCCCTGTCCGCCCGTCTGCCACTCCGACGTGTCTGGCTGCTGTCTTGCCCTTTTCTCTCCCCCTCGAAGAATTTCCTCGGGAACTTGGCCCCCTCGCTCTTGTTGTCCAAATTACGTGTCACGCTCTGTTTCTCGGTTTTCGTTGTGTTTCCTTTGTCTTTGGGTTATATTCTCCTCCCTCTCCCCTTCTCCTTTGCCCAGTTTTCCCTTCGTGCCCAGACCTTCCTCTCTTCCAAGAAGTCCCAAGACTTCCTCCATACTCTCCTCGTGCCTAGAAATTGCCGAGCATTCCCAACGAAAGTTCCTCTCCGGGCTTCCCACCTCCTTTTGGGCTGTTCACAGGTACCGCTCCACGAGCCACGAGAATTGTTTTCTGAGCGTTGCCTTGGCGTGGTCCCTTTCCTCTGATTTCCCCCTTTTGCGATTCAGTCGAGTCGCTGTCTCGTCTGTCGTCATTTTCTCATCATCGCAGAGCACGAAGAGTGTTCTCCCGCTTCACCCAAAATCGGGCTGTAATCAATTCAAGACCAAACCCCCTCCTTCAGTCCAGTGCCGCCGTCGGCCAATCACGGTGGTTGGCTAATATTGCACTCCGCGTAACGTTTTGAAATCGCTGCCCACACTCAAATAAGTTCTCTTCCCGCCTGATTTCCCTTCTCTTTCTCTTTCTCTTTCTCACCTTCTTTCACTCTCCCGCTTCACCTCCCACCACCCAGTTTCAAAACCCCGTCTTGTTTCACTGCTTTTGTTCATTCCCGGTCTTGTTCTTGTGGTTGCACCGTGATTTCTGTTCCAAAAGTTCCTGGGGACGGAGGACAAGAAATTTTCCTTGGCAAGCATGGCTTCCACCGAAAACCAAGACTCTTCCGCCGCCATGGCCCAGCAACAGCAGCAACAGCCCGCTCAGCCGACTCAAGCTGCTCAACCGCCAACTCAGGGCTCTGTACAACCTCAGCAGCCCCAAGCACAACCACAGCAGCCGCAGCAACAGCAGCAGCAACAGCCGCAGCAGCAGGGCGTCCCTCAGATCCAATCGTCACAGCAGCCTTTGCAGCAGAATATCGTCTCTGCTCCGGCTACTGCGCAACAAGCTGCCGCCGTGGCCGCTGCTGCCTCTGCAGTGCCCATCACGGCATCTCAAGACGCGAACAACAATGCCTCAAATCAGCAGCAGTCGGACCTCGCTTGTCAATGGACTGGTTGTCGCGAAATCTGCCCGACTCCTGAGGCGCTTTATGTATGTTTCGAATCCTTTTTTTTTCAGTAGATTGTCGCCAGTCAATATGTTTTGTTCACTGCGTTATATCCTCCATGGCCATGGTGTCGCCCTTCCTTGATTCGGGGCTGTTGCTGTTCCTATCCAGTTCATATATTTTGCCCGAAGTCACTGGAATCATCGCCTCTAACGTCTGGGCCACAGGAACACGTCTGCGAACGCCATGTTGGGCGAAAGAGCACGAATAACCTCAACTTGACCTGCTCATGGGGTAATTGCCGTACTACAACGGTCAAGCGTGATCATATCACTTCTCACATTCGTGTCCATGTCCCACTGAAGCCTCACAAATGTGACTTCTGTGGCAAAGCCTTCAAGCGCCCGCAGGATCTAAAGAAGCATGTAAAGACACATGCGGATGATTCAGTTCTCGTTCGATCTCCTGAACCTGGTCCTGGAACACGACCGCCAAATGGAATGTTTGGGGTCGGTGTCGGCCCAGACGGCAAAAGTAAGTACCTCGATGTGTCGACTCGATATCCCCAACCTCCCGTCGCTGCGTTTCGGGGTTAAAAAATAATTTCTCTCTTTCACAGCTAACCAGGCTCCGTACATGTTAGCCGGCCACTATTTTGATGGCTCGCTGGGACCCGTCCCAGGCGCACCGTACGGACATGCTCCACCGCAATATTATCACCCTCAACATCCGCAACATCCTCAGCACCCCCAGCATCCGTCGAACCCATCGTATGGCAATGTTTATTATGCCGTGGGAAGTGATGCCGCTCATCAGGCTTCGTACGAGTCAAAGAAGCGGGGATACGATGCACTGAATGAGTTCTTCGGTGATTTGAAACGACGTCAGTTCGACCCCACTTCTTATGCGGCGGTTGGACAACGCCTGTTAAATTTGCACGGGTTGCCTCTACCTTTGGTCCATGCTGCTGCTGTGCCTTGAATATCAGCTCATGCCTGCGATGGTCACCATTGGCGGGCATGAAGCTATCACTCGCCCCAATCCCCGCACAGTCTACCACTGCCTCCGATGGGTAATCTTCGCACCAAGACTGACTTGATGAATATTGATCAGTTCCTGGAGCAAATGCAAACAACCGTTTATGAAGGCGACGATAATGTCGCGGCCGCTGGCGTCGCTCAGCCAGGTGCACATTACATCCACGGGGCCTTGAGTTATCGCACAACCCACTCTCCTCCTTCGGCCACGCATTTGCCATCCAGCCATGCCACTGCAACAGCAACGTCAGCTCCACCAGTTACCTCTGCGTCTGCTAGATCCCCGCACAGTGCAACGCCCGTTTTGACTCCTCCTTCTAGTGCTCAATCGTATACGTCTGGCCGTTCGCCCGTCTCGCTCTCGTCCAGCCATCAGATCTCGCCGTCGTCCCAACCGTCCCAGCCACAGACGAGTTCAAGCATGTATCCAACCCTCCCGACCACCGCCGCCCAGCAGTCCGCATCGACCGGATACCTTAACGTTTCTAGCGCCGCGCCACCATCCACCTTGAGCAGCATCTTTGAAACTGACGATCGTCGACGGTATACTGGTGGTATGCTGCAGCGATCTCGTGTGGAGTATTCGGAGCCGATGGACATGTCGATGGACGGCAGCAACGACAGCCCCAAGGTGGCGTCTTCGGATCAAGACAAAGTGGCTGACAACATGATCGACCCCTTTCTTCGACGCGCATCAAGTGACCGGCAATCTGATCGCGATTCCACGTCCACAGTCAAACGCGGACACCGCTCCAGCAGTCCGGACTCTGCACGCCCTCCCCGCAAAGGCTCTAATCGTACCGACGAGGATATGTGGGTGGAGAACGTACGCCTTCTCCAGAGGGCTTCGCGACTATGTCAACCAACGCCTGTATCATGGAGACTTTGGAGGATGACGGCCATCCATCTGGCAGCTACCCTAATGGATCA